GAAAACCGTGAATTATAGTCTTTTGTGAAAAAGTGAAAATTTGAAAATGCGTGAATTATAGTCTTTTGTGAAAATTTTGAAAATTTGTGAAAATGCGTGAATTATAGTCTTTTTGTGAAAAGTTGTGAAAATTTGTGAAAATGCGTGAATTATAATCTTTGTATGCAAAATTGTGAAAATTTGTGAAAATGCGTGAATAATTGAAAATTTGTGAAAATTTGAAAATTTGTGAAAATGTGTGAATTATAGTCTTTTTGTGAAAAATTGTGAAAATTTGTGAAAATGCGTGAATTATAGTCTTTTTGTGAAAAGTGAAATTTTGAAAATGCGTGAATTATAGTCTTGTATGAAATTGTGAAATTTGTGAAAATGTGAATTATAGTCTTTGTGTAAAATTGTGAAAATTGTGAAAATTCGTGAATTATAGTGAAAATTGTGAAAATATGTGAAAATCTGGTCTTTGAAAATTAGAAAATTATTGTTTGAAAATGAAAATCAAATTAATCGTGAATGGAAAATAATGAAAATGGAATGAAAATTGAATGAAAATGTGATTATAGTCTTTTGTGAAAAAATTGGAAAATTGTGAAAATGCGTGAATTATAGTCTTTTGTGAAAATTGTGAAATTTGTGAAAATGTGAATTATAGTCTTTGTAAAATTGTGAAAATTTGAAAATGTGAACTTAGTAGTCTTTGTATGAAAATCAGGAAAATTGTGAAAATGCGTGAATTATAGTCTTTGTGAAAAATTGTGAAAATTGGAAAATGCGAAAATGAATTATAGTCTTTTGAAAATGTGAAAATTTGTGAAAATGCGTGAATTATAGTCTTTGTGAAAATTGTGAAAATTGTGAAAATGCGTGAATTATAGTCTTTGGTAAAAAATCAGAAAATTGTGAAAATGCGTGAATTATAGTCTTTTGTGAAAAATCATGAAAATTGTGAAAATGCGTGAATTATAGTCTGTGAAAAATTGTGAAAATTTGTGAAAATTGAATTATAGTCTTTGTGAAAATGTGAAAATTTGTGAAAATGCGTGAATTATCTTTTGTGAAAAATTGAAAATTTGTGAAAATGCGGAATTATAGTCTTTGTGTAAAACTGAAAATTGGTGAAAATGTGAATTATAGTCTTTTGTGAAAAAGTGAAAATTTGAAAATGCGTGAATTATAGTCTTTTGTGAAAAATGTGAAAATTGAAAATGCGGAATTATAGTCTTTTGTGAAAAATTGTGAAAATTTGTGAAAATGCGTGAATTAGTCTTTGTGAAAAATTTTGAAAATGTGAAAATGCGTGAATTATAGTCTTTGTGAAAAAATGTGAAAATTTGTGAAAATGCGTGAATTATAGTCTTTTGTGAAAAATTGTGAAAATCCAGAAAATGCGTGAATTATAATCTTTGTGAAAATTGTGAAAATTGTGAAAATGCGTGAATTATAGTCTTTGTGAAAAATGTGAAAATTGTGAAAATGCGTGAATTATAGTCTTTGTGAAAATTTGAAAATTTGTGAAAATGTGAATTATAGTCTTTTGTGTAAAATTGTAAATTTGTGAAAATGCGTGGATTATAGTCTTTGTGAAAATTGTGAAAATTGTGAAAATGCGTGAATTATAGTCTTTTTGTGAAAATGTGAAAATTGTGAAAATGTGAATTATAGTCTTTGTGAAAATTGTGAAAATGAAAATGTGAATTATAGTCTTTGTGTAAAAACATGTGAAAATTTGTGAAAATGCGTGAATTATAGTCTTTTTGTGAAAAGTTGTGAAAATTTGTGAAAATGCGTGAATTATAATCTTTTATGAAAATTGAAATTTGGAAAATGCGTGAATAATGAATATTTGGTGAAAATGGAAAATTTGTGAAAATGTGTGAATTATAGTCTTTGTGAAAATCAGAAATTTGTGAAAATGCGTGAATTATAGTCTTTTGTGAAAAGTTGTGAAAATTCAGAAAATGCGTGAATTATAACTTTGTATGCAAAATCAGGAAAATTTGAAAATGCGTGAATTATTGTCTTGTGAAAATGTGAAAATATGTGAAAATGCGTGAATTATAGTCTTTGTGTAAAAAATGTGAAAATTTGTGAAAATTCGTGAATTATAGTCTTTTGTGAAAAATCAGAAAATTTGTGAAAATGCATAATTATAGTCTTTTGTGAAAAATGTGAAAATTGTTAAAAATGTGTGAATTATAGTCTTTGTATGCAAAATGTGAAAATTGTGAAAATGCGTGAATTATAGTTGTATGAAAATTGTGAAAATGTGAAAATGCGTGAATTATAGTCTTTTGTGAAAATTGTGAAAATTGTAAAAATTTGAAAATTGAATTATAGTCTTTTGAAAAATTGTGAAAATTGTGAAAATGCGTGAATTATAGTCATTTGTGAATAATCAGAAAATTGTGAAAATCCGTGAATTATAGTCTTGTGTAAAAATCAGAAAATTTGGAAAATGCGTGAATTATAGTCTTTGTGAAAAAATTGAAAATTTGTGAAAATGTGTGATTATAATCTTTGTGTGAAAAATTGTGAAAATTGTGGAAATGCGTGAATTATAGTCTGTGAAAAATCAGGAAAATTGGAAAATGCGTGAATTATGAGTCTTTTGTGAAAATTTTGAAAATTTGTGAAAATGTGTGAATTATAGTCTTTTAAAAATTGTGAAAATTTGTGAAAATGCGTGAATTGTAGTCTTTTGTGAAAAATTGAAAATTGTGAAAATGCGTGAATTATAGTCCTTTGTGAAAATGTGAATTTGTGAAAATGCGTGAATTATAGTCTTTGTATGAAAATGGAATTGTGAAAATGCGTGAATTATAGTCTTTGTAAAAATTGTGAAAATTTGTGAAAATGCGTGAATATAGTCTTTTGTGAAAAGTTGTGAAAATTTGTGAAAATGCGTGAATTATAATCTTTGTATGCAAAATTGTGAAAATTTGTGAAAATGCGTGAATTATAGTCTTTTTGTGAAAAATTGTGAAAATTTGTGAAAATGCGTGAATTGTAGTCTTTTGTGAAAAATTGTGAAAATTTGTGAAAATGCGTGAATTATAGTCTATTTGTGAAAATTGTGAAAATTTGTGAAAATGCGTGAATTATAGTCTTTTGTGAAAAATTTTGAAAATTTGTGAAAATGCGTGAATTATAGTCTTTTTGTGAAAAATTTTGAAAATTTGTGAAAATGCGTGAATTATAGTCTTTTTGTGAAAAAATGTGAAAATTTGTGAAAATGCATGAATTATAGTCTTTGTGTGAGAAAATGTAAAAATTTGTGAAAATGCGTGAACTATAGTCTTTTGCATGAAAAATCGTGAACTATATTCTTTTGCATGAAAATTCGTGAATTATAGTCTTTTGCTTGAAAATTCGTGAACTATAGTCTATTGCATGAAAATTCGTGTACTATAGTCTATTGCATGAAAATTCATGTACTATAGTCTTTTGCATTAAAATTCGTGATCTATAGTCTTTTGCATGAAAATTCGTGAACTATAGTCTTTTGCATGAAAATTCGTGTACTATAGTCTTTTGCATGAAAATTCGTTTACTATAGTCTTTTGCATGAAAATTCGTGTATTATAGTCTTTTGCATGAAAATTCGTGAACTTTAGTCTTTTGCATGAAAATTCGTGAACTATAGTCTATTGCATGAAAATTCATGTACTATAGTCTTTTGCATTAAAATTCGTGATCTATCGTCTTTTGCATGAAAATTCGTGAACTATAGTCTCTTGCATGAAAATTTGTGATCTATAATCTTTTGCATGAAAATTCGTGATATTTTGCATGAAAATATTTTACAGAGTTATGTCGCTAACGAAGAAAAAATTTACAGAGTTATGTCGCTAATGAAGAAAAAAATTTCTACAGATTTATGTCGCTAACGAAGAAAAAATTTTTTACAGAGTTATGTCGCTAACGAAGAAAAAAATTTTTACAGAGTTATGTCGCTAACGAAGAAAAAAAATTCTACAGAGTTATGTCGCTAATGAAGAAAAAAATTTTTACAGAGTTATGTCGCTAACGAAGAAAAAAATTTCTACAGAGTTATGTCGCTAAGGAAGAAAAAAATTTTTACAGAGTTATGTCGCTAACGAAGAAAAAAATTTCTACAGAGTTATGTCGCTAACGAAGAAAAAAATTTCTACAGAGTTATGTTGCTAACGAAGAAAAAAATTTCTACAGAGTTATGTTGCTAATGAAGAAAAAAATTTTTACAGAGTTATGTCGCTAACGAAGAAAAAAAATTCTACAGAGTTATGTCGCTAACGAAGAAAAAAATTCTACAGAGTTATGTCGCTAATGAAGAAAACAATTTCTACAGAGTTATGTCGCTAACGAAGAAAAATTCTACAGAGTTATGTCGCTAACGAAGAAAAAATTTCTACAGAGTTATGTCGCTAACGAAGAAAAATTTCTACAGAGTTATGTCGCTAATGAAGAAAAAAATTTTTACAGAGTTATGTCGCTAACGAAGAAAAAATTTCTACAGAGTTATGTCGCTAATGAAGAAAAAAATTTCTACAGAGTTATGTTGCTAATGAAGAAAAAAAGTTCTACAGAGTTATGTTGCTAATGAAGAAAAAAATTTTACAGAGTTATGTCGCTAATGAAGAAAAAATTTTTACAGAGTTATGTCGCTAACGAAGAAAAAAATTTCTACAGAGTTATGTCGCTAATGAAGAAAAAAATTTCTACAGAGTTATGTTGCTAATGAAGAAAAAAATTTCTACAGAGTTATGTTGCTAATGAAGAAAAAAATTTTTACAGAGTTATGTCGCTAATGAAGAAAAAAATTTTACAGAGTTATGTCGCTAACGAAGAAAAAAATTTCTACAGAGTTATGTCGCTAATGAAGAAAAAAATTTCTACAGAGTTATGTTGCTAATGAAGAAAAAAATTTTGTAAAGAGTTATGTCGCTAATGAAGAAAAAAATTTACACAGAGTTATGTCGCTAATGGAAATCATATTTAAATTATTTCAAAACGACGAAACGAAGTTGTCATAAGCTCTCCAAGAAAAGCTGGCAGTCTAATGTTTTAATAATTATTGTGATGTCTTACATGTTCAAATAATGAAGGCATAAAAAATACGACGCCGAGATATTTGACACAAATTGTTCGAAACACTGCAAAACACTGTAAGTATAATAATTCGATTGTTTTGAGCAGATCTGCACGTTCATAATTAGGACAGATTACCATCGTATAGCTTTGACTTAATCTCATTCATATATAGAGCATTTAATGTAAAACAATCTATTTACAAAGATTGCTTTCTTTTGATAGCGAACATTATAACTGAAATCACACTAAAATAGACCATAAAAAGATGTCACAAAGAATGAACGTACGCATGTTGCAAAAACGACACGCGGCTAGATTGATATGCTTCATTAAAATAATAAAACAGTTCTTCAATCGTCATCCAGGAAGAAAAAATTGCCGGAATGCTTTTGCTCAACATCCTATAAAACGACATATTAACAACAATCAAATAATTAAATCATGACGAACGACGAGTAAAATAAATCTAATATCATACTATACCTTGACCGAATTTAGTTTGTTTATACGCGGTCTATAATTGCTCGGGTCTCTTCGGAACGTGATACATAATGATTCCAAAAATTTATTCATCCCCGACAACAGGCTCTGTGGACTGGGTTTGAGAAATAGGAATAAATGTTAATAATATAAACAATAAATGCACAAGTGGAAACACAAATAGAGATAAAACAAGGAAAATAATAAAAAATACCTTCTAGCAAAAGTCGAAACAGACGGTGTACCGTCAAATACAACAACACGATCAGCAAGGTACGTCGCCATAATAAAATCGTGTTCAACGATAAAACCAGTTTTCTTTGCATGAAGTATAAATCTAATTATAAAAGCACGCACAGATCTTAATTAATATCGCAAAACATTTAAGCATATAGACTGACTCCATTGTATTGTCTTATCGTAAATTACAGAAAGGTTTAAAATTTACGTCAGATACAGCAATATCCTAATTTACACAAAATAATTTCAATTCCACCCAGGATTTGATCACTTTTTATCCAGTACATTATTGATAATCCGTTTTGAGAATATAAAAAAGAAGAAATAGATAGGTATGAATACCTTTTAATCACTTTGGCAGCAACAAGACGTTGTTCAGAATCCAAGTATGCAGACGGTTCATCAATTAAGTAAACATCAGCAGGCTAAAGTTAAAAAATAAACAATATATTTTAATAAATGGTGCTGCAGTTTTTAACTATCCTTTATTACTTTTAGCACTACATCAACGAACCTTGCCAAGACATAAAGTTAAGGCGACACGTTGTAATTCACCACCAGATAAATTTTGCACTTCTTGATCAAAGATGTTCTCAATTTGAAGTGGTTTAATGACATCTGTGATGAACTGAGGATGTATGTAAGCATCGCGAATTTTCTCGTGAAGAAGCTGTCGTACTGTGCTCTGGTGGAAAATATTTGATTGAATAAAATTTTATGCCCTTTTAAACCGTATTGTGTCGCTACAAAACAAAACTAAAAAGTAATCATTGAAAATCTCTACTTACTCTAGATTTTGGACTGATTTTCTGTGGTTTATAGCTAACGTTCAAAAGAGGGACTTCAGCTGTAAAGACCAACACAAAAACATGAAAAAGTAACCAGACATGTCTGCTTAATATTCAAGTCAAAGCTTTTTATTTGTAACATACCTCCATCTTCAGGTGGTAGTCTACCAGCTAACATTCTGATAAATGTTGTTTTACCCGTCCCTAAAATAAACAATGAATAAAACAGAAACGACTACGTAACTTACAAAAACAATGAAAAAACAGTACAAAATATCATCAAGATTTACCGTTTTCTCCTAACATTACGATTATTTCCGAGTCAGTAAATGTCCCGGATTCAAAGCAGTACAAAATATCATCAAGATTTACCGTTTTCTCCTAACATTACGATTATTTCCGAGTCAGTAAATGTCCCGGATTCAAAACAGTACAAATTATCATCAAGATTTACCGTTTTCTCCTAACATTACGATTATTTCCGAGTCAGTAAATGTCCCGGATTCAAAACAGTACAAAATATCATCAAGATTTACCGCTTTCTCCTAACATTACGATTATTTCCGAGTCAGTAAATGTCCCGGATTCAAAGCAGTACAAAATATCATCAAGATTTACCGTTTTCTCCTAACATTACGATTATTTCCGAGTCAGTAAATGTCCCGGATTCAAAACAGTACAAATTATCATCAAGATTTACCGTTTTCTCCTAACATTACGATTATTTCCGAGTCAGTAAATGTCCCGGATTCAAAACAGTACAAAATATCATCACGATTTACCGTTTTCTCCTAACATTACGATTATTTCCGAGTCAGTAAATGTCCCAGATTCAAAGCAGTACAAAATATCATCAAGATTTACCGTTTTCTCCTAACATTACGATTATTTCCGAGTGAGTAAATGTCCCGGATTCAAAGCAGTACAAATTATCATCAAGATTTACCGTTTTCTCCTAACATTACGATTATTTCCGAGTCAGTAAATGTCCCGGATTCAACATTCAATTCAAAAGATTCTACAAATAGAAAAAGTTTAAAATTAAAAGAAATAAAAATATAATTTAGTATAGCTAGAAATATGCGATAGTTAGACAAACGAAACAACATACTTAATACTTTTCTCATATCAGGATAACTATAACGTCTCAATTTTTTTATTTCTTCCTCCTGAAGGAATAATGCCATGGTTTGATAAGCAAATCTACTCAAACTTACACAGTAAAAAGTTGAGAATAAATTGATGTATGAAAAAAGGAGAAAAAAAACCTTATCAGCTGTTTCTGCTACTTTAAATGTCAGTGATGTGTCACGAAAACGTAGGTTTTCCGTTGGGACGAAGCCATCAAGAAATATGTTGATGCCTACAAATAATTGAAAAAGATTGATCAATTTGAAAATTTCTATCACAATATATTAAAGTAAAAGAGAATAAATAAGTTGATGCTGAATATAAATTCTTTTTACGGAGATTCATATATCTTTTTTATTATAAAATTAAAAGAAACACATTTTATGCAATGTACCTTCTCTCACACTGAAAGGCATAGTAACTACCCCATATGCACCAGGAACACCATAAAGACAGCAGATGAAGTCAGATAGATAATCCAAAACACTCAGATCATGCTCAACCACAATGATGTACCTATGAAAGAAATTGCTTGCATTAACCACACAAAGCTGATAAAAATACACTAAAATCCTGTATTTATAGAAAACGCGAAGTTTGCGGTACTTAAAGTATATGTTCATTTTTAGTTTTGTTGAATGTAAAGCGAGAAGCATTGTATCACAATTATAAAAGTAATATCAAAGTAGACATTTATGATATGTGTATAAATATACAAAGAACCTGTTGCTTCTTATTAAACTCCTTATGGCCAATGCAGCTTTCAAACGCTGTTTAACATCGAGATAACTGGAAGGCTCGTCAAACATAAAACTGATGGGAAAATTACATAAATTCTTTTGATAAATGAAACATTCAGCATGCCACAATATTTCACAATGATAAAAAGTAAGTCAGTAAAATTTTAGTACATCACTTTTGTAAAGTCCACTCACATGTCAGCCTGTTGGACACACACAACAGCGCAAGCAAATCGCTGTAATTCTCCACCAGAAAGTTCGTCTACATTACGCTCACGAACTGTTAACAAGTCTATATAGTAAATGAAAAAATCATATTATACATCTATGTACAAATAAAAATATGTAAAGATGAACCACGTAAAAATGAGCAATAACGTGCTAGAACATACAAAATAGCTACTATAACAATTGATTCTTACCAAGCTGCTTGCAAAACTCTTCTTGAGATGATGTTTCATCTTTTCTATCTAATATAGATTGCACACAACCCTGTAGAAAGATAAAAAAAATTACAACTTTTCTATACCATTTGGGATGTCAATGGGTTTTTGTATTTATGTTGTGGTTTTTCTTTCATAAAAATTTATTCTGATATTTTTCTTTAATCTTTGAGCAACATACAATTCATACAAAGAAAGAAATGTGAAAATATTACAGTCCATTAAAAGTTAAAATCTTGCCATGGTTGTGTTATCAAATGACTATTTTCAATTGTGGACAGCATAAAGTCATGGTCCCTAAGGATTTCACTGCATGATTTCATAACAAATAAATTTCCTGAAATGTGGTTGAAGTTATGGTATGATAATGGAATAATGTCCATGTGGTGCAAGTTATGTAGTGAAGGTTTTATATGCAGACAGAAATAACTTCCTTTGAACTAGGAATATTTATATTCTATAAGAACACACATATATATAGTATCTGGCAAAGAAAATATATATTTGTCTGCTATACAAAATAAAATATGAACAGAAGCTGATGATCCAAATGATCTTACCTTAACAGCTTTTGGAATCTGGTCAACATATTGTGGTTTGATGATAGCCTGGAAAGGCATAAATGCATATCATTTGCAGTTTAATTTGCTGTACAATGTTTACATTGTGTTTCACAACACAATGTAAACACAAACATTTTTTAAAGTCTGTTTAACATACATTACATTACTTACACAGACAAAATACACACCACAAATAACAAAATTTCCAACAGTTCTATTACGCATTAAATAAACAATTAAGAAAAAACCAAATGAAACCATCAAAAATATCTTGAAGCTTGAAATGCAGTGCATCTACCCAACACTAACTTTTAGATCATCCTCAAGGATTTTTGTGAAATAATTTTGAAGCTCTGATCCACGAAAATATTGAAGAATTTCCTGCCAATCAGGAGGATTCTAAACAAAAAGCATCAATGCATACAAGCTTAACTGGCACATAGAATAATCAAAACATGAGGTATTGACAACTTCAGCAAAATCTTAGAGATCCTTAGAGACAAACATATGAAATACCTGTGTTGTCCTAAATAATTATGTGTTGTCCTAAATAATTATATGTTGTCCTAAATAATTATGTGTTGTCCTAAATAATTATGTGTTGTCCTAAATAATTATATGTTGTCTAAAAATAATTATGTGTTGTCCTAAATAATTATGTGTTATCCTAAATAATTATGTGTTATCCTAAATAATTATGTGTTGTCCTAAATAATTATGTGTTGTCCTGAATAATTATGTGTTATCCTAAATAATTATGTGTTGTCCTAAATAATTATGTGTTATCCTAAATAATTATGTGTTGTCCTAAATAATTATGTGTTGTCCTAAATAATTATGTGTTGTCCTAAATAATTATGTGTTATCCTAAATAATTATGTGTTGTCCTAAATAATTATGTGTTGTCCTGAATAATTATGTGTTATCCTAAATAATTATGTGTTGTCCTAAATAATTATGTGTTATCCTAAATAATTATGTGTTGTCCTAAATAATTATGTGTTGTCCTGAATAATTATGTGTTATCCTAAATAAGTATGTGTTATCCTAAATAATTATGTGTTGTCCTAAATAATTATGTGTTGTCCTAAATAATTATGTGTTATCCTAAATAATTATGTGTTGTCCTAAATAATTATGTGTTGTCCTAAATAATTATGTGTTGTCCTAAATAAGACTGATAACATACATCATATCGTCCTAGATTAGGTTTCTGTTTTCCTGCAAGAATTTTTAGAGCAGTAGATTTTCCTATACCATTGGTTCCAACAAGACCTAAAACTTCACCCGGTCTTGGAGTAGGTAACCTGAGAAATGTTGCAAAACAACACAATACTTAATGCATAAGACATTTTTAAGAGAAAAAACACATTGAATATGTATGTATTCACATTTCAATAAAAGTCATGCCAAAAACCTTTCTCATTGACAAATATTTACATGTAAAGATCAGATTTAAAGCAAATGAGATTTGTATTGGAATATATGAGAAGATGAAGAAATAACCAAAGCAACTAAAGTATGTGTACACAATAATCATACATGAGATTGTCATACTATCAGCTATTCTGAAACTGAAGGTATTTAATAAAATTTTGGTAGATCTTGTAGACTATGAAAGTATTTATATTATGATATACAAACTTGCCTGTGTAGCTTGAATGAATTTGCATTATATCGATGTGTTGTATCTTTTTCAAGGTTACTGGGAAGATTTATGATATTTATAGCTTCAAATGGACATTTCTACATTAAAAGAGTTAGGAGAAATTAGCCATTTTACAAGTAGCAAAGTTTTACTGAATCTTTAACTAGTTTTTTTATTCAACACCAACATCAAACATTGAATTCCATTATCCTCTTCTATTAAAAGATGTCTTTATACATGCATGAATAGTCATGTTTTGTATATTTATAACAATGTCTATGTACAGGTCAGTCATATATAAATAATTTTTTTATACAGAGGTCAATAGTCATAACTGATCACAGCTGGTCCAACATGATCATAATTGGTAATAACAATCTGGCACAAAGCATTTTTACTTAACATTTGAGTCAACATTTTGGCGTACCAGTTAAAATGAATTAATACATAGTTTGTTTAGAACATAAATCTTGCTATGTTATAAGTAAAAAATTAGTGTAAATGTTTAATATATTCTATAAATAGATAGATTAAATACACAAGGCTGTGTCCTGTCTTAATTTCTATATCAGTGGTGTAGCCAGCTACTTAATTTGGGGATTCATATATGCATGTTACAATCCATAAATACAATTGACTTTATAGGAAGTTAATAAGGTAAAACATGAAAATATGAATACTTGCACCCTCCCCCAAAATAATCAAGGTTGCTACCGAAGTGACCATCAGTGGACGTTACCATCAATGAACGTTACCATCAATGAACGTTACAATCAATGGGATACACTTACCTTAACACAAATACCACAACCAATGCATAATTCTTCTGATATCTTACTCACTTTAGAAGCAGGTGTAACCTCAATACAAAGTTTTCCTTAATTTCAAGAATATTTCCGATTACATTTAAACATTGAATCTGTTTAAATTTACAATTATTATGTAATACATACGTACCCATGCGAACAACAGGACAGGCTTTTTTACATTCTTGACGACATTTCTTCGGTTTACACCTATCGGTATTTACAATAGCAATCCGAGTTAGTTTATCGCGTGTAGCCATATTAAAAATGTAATTAAATAGTCAATCCATCCACAGGAGGAGAAAGCCACATGAAAGATTGGTAAGAGAAAGGGAGAAATCTGATGATCTGAGCACCTGGCATGGGGCACGGCGTGAAAATTGAGTGAATAGATATGAGCCCGCGGTTCTACCGAACGAGCAATTTTATAGTTTTATTATGCCCCTATATCAAAGCCACATCAAAACCATTTGTAACTCGGAAATAAAAGCAACTGATTTTGAATTATGGCTTTTTTCGTAAAAAGCCTGTATTATGACCATTTGTTTCTGGCTAGAAAGACCTTAGTTGATTATCGTTTTCTTTGCATGAAGTCAATTCAAGTTGAAACTAGTAAAGTGAGGAAAAAAGATGACAATCTTGTCAATCCTGAAAGTGTTGGGGATTATGCTATGAGAATGATGAAAAAGTTGGATGAAGAAGGAAAATTGAAAATGCAAAAGCGTTCGGTGTGGTTGATAAGAAGACATATGGATAGCGTTGCAAAGTTCTATGAAAATCCAAAGCAAGTTTTAGGTCTATCTTTGCAGGAATTTAAAGACAGAGTGAAATTATTGGAAGCTTTGGGTGTTAGCCTTGAAGATGCTATGGTGATTGGTTTATCCTATCCTTCTTGTTTATGTTTTGATTTACCATCAATGCATTCTATGATATCTTTATTAAAAAATATGGTTGTTATCTTCCAAAACATTTCATAAAGTATCCTTATGTGTTTTCCCTGGAAAGTAAACAATGTGAAAGAAACTTGCAATACCTTAAAGACATTGGTTTATCAACAGAAAATATTGGTAACCTTATTGACGTCAATCCCATTGTCTTAACTGCAAAGCTTTCAGATAAAGCAGAAAATTTTGCCCAATATGCCAAAAACTTTCGACCATCAAGTAACATATTAAGACTTGCTTTGAAATCGTCACTCCTCAAATCAGGTGAACAAGTGGTTTTAAATGAAGATTTTGATAAAATTTTAAGATTTCTCAATGACCTTAAGATTGATATTTCAAAATTGATGCAAAAATGTCCTGAATTTTTGTGTTGCAAACATGAAAATTTGCTAGAGACATATAAATTTTTATCTGGTTCACCCCTCTATTGTGAAAAGAATCATATTAAAAAGTTACTCAAGTCAAATCCTCATGCATTCCTTCAGATGAATAAAAGCTCTTTCCAAAAAAGTATACAAAATCTTTCAAAAATCATTGATTGCAATGTAAAGTTGTATTTGTTATTGCAAAAGTCGCCAATGTTATTTTTTGACAGTTCATCCATCTTGCTTGAAAGAATAGAACTGCTAAGACAATATCAGTTTTCTCAAAAAGAAATTGTTTTATTGCTGGGAAAAGCTGCATTTGTGTTCAGCGATGAAAAATCATCAAGTAATCTGGAAAAAAAACTTCACTTATTGCTTTCATCAAATGACATCACAACTGGTCAAGTTTGCAAGTCACCAATTATTTTGAGAGCACCTTTGGAGAAGATACAAAAAAGATTGTTTTTTATAAGAATGAAGAAACTAAACACATTGAATCGTCATTCTCTCAATGAAATATTTTTCTCTAGTAATCAAACATTTGTAAATGAAATGTGTGAGTCTTCTCTGGATGCATACCTCTCCATTATAGATGTTTTAGATCCAATCTAGTTATACTGTGAACTTGTATCCCTGGAATTTTTCATAATTTAAATATATATGTTTATAAAACAAACACAATGAATCGTGTGTGCTGATTGGTCTAGAGCTGAGTTTGCATTATCCTGTGCAAAACATATCTGAGCTCAACCAATCAAATCAATCTAAACAATCAATCAGTCAAAGAGAATTTGCAAATCGATCATGTATACATTTTAAAGGAAAAATTAAAATGTTTGTCTTTTTTTGCATTATTGTTATTTTATAACGAGCTGGTGCAACCCTCGACCTTCGGTCTTGGGCTTGCACTAGTCTATTCTCGAGTTCTCCCAAAGATCTCCTCGGTTTGCATTAGCCCTTGCAAACACAGTAAACATCTTTTATTTCTTAAATAAAATTTTGCTGATCATTGCATTATTCTTTTGTCTTTGACAACCCACATGGTGGCCATGACGCAACATGAAAACCATTTTAAACACATATAAGTTGGACAGCAATTTTCAATTTTATTTTTCATCAAATAGGGAATTTATATAATAAACTCATATGGGATAGGCTCAAGAAGTTCAGGTTCCTTTCCTCTGTTTTTGACAAAATGTGCTTCTCTAGGTGCCACAGGCTTAAAAAAGATAAGATTTTTGTTGTTAAACATACAAATGTAAAATTTTTCAAGCAAATAATAAATTACATTATTACAAAAGGAAAAATAGTAGTTCAAATATAATTAAACTAATATTCAAAACATAACTTTGGTTAAAGTGCTAAACCATGACTTACCTGTCGTTTTAGATTGACTTTTACCCCTTCTTCCTGAGCTTGTTTCTTTTTCTTGTCATTTTCTTTCACACGTCTAAAGAAAAGTTCATCAGTGTTGTCATTTCATTTTTAAAAAAAATTTTTGACTGTGGACTATGATTATTGTGTTACCTTAAAAAATCATCTCGGCATTTCGAATGACGAACATGCTCAATTCGAACATTGATTCTTTTAGCAAATATTCTACCTCTATATAAAAAATGACAAGTGCACACCATGATGAGATTGCAGACTTAAGAAAGGTTTACTGAATTATGTAGCATACTTGACTTGTTTGTTAACAATAATTCCCAAGCCACTTTTGGTGACATTGAATACTCTACCAGTTTTACCATGATATGATTTGTGTGGCATGCCTTTCTGAATAGCACCATCACCCTACATGGTACATAAAAATACATGAGACTCTGTGTTATGAACAAATCAATTTATTAGATTACAATTAGATTATCTTTTGTGTTTAGATTTAGTAGCAATCTTACTGAATCCTAAACAATCAACCAGTGGAGTTAAAAGGGTTTACTCCAAGATTAAGTGCAGTGTGCGAAACTATATTTTAAAATCAATGTTAACGAGACTTTTTTCAAATATTCTCAGAATAAAATGTAAGGGAAAAAATTGCTCTTTGATGGCCTGAAGAAAAATTGGTCCAGGCAACACAAAACAAACCTTTATATCAACTATGTCACCCATCTTATAAACCTTTAAATATGTGGACATTTTGTTTGGCCCTGAAAATATAATCAGTGTATTACCATTTGCACTAAGGAACAATTATAAGTTGTAAAAAAAGTAAATAATATAGTAATTACCATGTTTTCTGAAAGGTCGTGCAAACATATAGCGTGTTCCTCGACGTTTTCCTTTGGGGTTCGTCATCGTAAAGTGTTTCTTGAAATTATAATTAAATGAAAAACTTACAGAGACGATAAAAACAATAATGAAGACGGCAAATACGAAATTATAAAGGAAAGAACTTGAACCTTTTACACGTGCACAAAGATGGCGGCGAAGTAAGCAGAAAAAGAACGAGAATTATTTGTCTGTCTCGTTTTCAAGTTGGGCATTTCTGAGCCAACGGACACTTCTGTACGCGGTGGAATCAGTGGGTGGAATAGATGCAATGAATGGGTGAAATGAAGAAAATTTCTTAGTTTTAAAGCTCCCCACCGTCATTTTCAGGACTAGGAGATCATTGACCTCATTGTATTGATTATCAGTTAAATATTTTCTCAAACTCAGAGTCAAATACAACTTGTGTTTCTTCAACATTTATTTTTCAGCATTTTCGAGCAAATTTGTAATTTTAGAAATTAGTAGTTTAGATGAAAAATGATGATTGACCAATCAAAGTAGAAAATGAACAACTGCATCCACAACATACACAACTGTAGCAAGGAAACCAAATACCTGCAAAGAATAAGAGTTGCAGTTTTAAGAGTAGCTCACCCATTGATAAAAATCACGCAATAGTTGAAAAGATTGTATCAACATTTTGATGTTGACATTGGGCGGACAAACATAAATATTGAATAAAAAATACACGCTTACTTAACATTAATTATCATTATCTATGGTTAGGATTATTATACAGAATACTAGCTGGTAGAGCGGCTTGACATCTGTCAATTTCTGAAATGAATTAATGAGCTTGTGAAGAAGCCCCCTTCAATTAAGTTTACAAGAACAAATTTGAAAATTGAAGTTTTATGAAAATCTAAACCAAGCAACATTAATTAAAGAACTTACAGATGCTACTATGAGTTGACTGCAGCGGAATTTCAATTCTAAAATATCAAACAATTTGCATTGGTTTTGCCCTCTCCAAGACTTATACGATTGTACGGTATTGGCGACAAGTGAAGAAGCCACCAATAACAGTATGGCCAAAATGAGAAAGACAATAGAGTCCTATAAAGAAATTAAAACATTGTGTTGAGTCCGTCTATTTCACGTAAAAGTTATGTATTTTTAAATCTTAAGTGCACTATTCATGCATCACAGTTTATTCATCGCATGTTTACGTACTGTTCTTGCCCAGTTGAAAACATCGATCTTTTTATGAAGACCAAGAAAAAATACGAGTTGAAACAAAAGCGAAACACTTGCTGCAGTTGCAGCAACTCCAATAAAAAAAAGTACATTGTCCTTGTCATGATAGTGATAACCACTATCGTCTCGGTCAACATGATCTTCAAAATATCCAATGCTACCAATGGCAACCAACAGTAATACCTGACCAAATTAAAAAACATTTTTCAGTAATTGTAATATATAATTTATAATGGACTTACTGCAGTATCACGCCCTCATCTCAAGTAATAAAATTTCATGCACTACTTAAAGTGTGCAGGTTAAGTCTATAAAATGACCATAGTATAGCCCAAAGTTCTCATTAATACACAAGCACAAAACATCAACGCATAGTTTTACTCACAATTTGAGTGATTTTCAACACATTTGAAAGTGATTTTAAGTATTCAACGCCTTCGTTTAGTCCACCCATGTTGGCAAATGATGTACTAAAGATATAAGTTCAGAAGATACATACATAAGACAATTTTAAAACTCGTGATTGACAAATCAAAACTCTTGTTTCTCAAGTTTCACTTAAATATGCTTTTACATACCCTTCTAATAACTTCATGATCACTTTATAAAATCAATGATTTATGATTGTCGCTTTCTTATTGATAAACTGAAAAATATAAAATTCAATCAAAATTTTATTTTTGTTGTGCAAATTGGTTCCCAATAGTTTTAGGGCTTCAATCAATCCTCAATTCGATGTAACAATACACACTACAAAAGAAAACAAGAATGATCTAAATTGTTTATTTATCACATATTTTGGAGAATCAGTAGCCGGCTGCAAAGTCGACCAAATTTTTCGTAGGTTTATTTTCGTGAGTTAATTGTCTGTGACCTTACGCAGATCACGGGAGAAATATGGAAAAACATGTTTGAAAAACATCTCATGACATATGACCTCATTTCATAGCTAAAAGAAAAATGAGGCACTATCCATGGATCTATTAAATGTGTGTTGCTAACATTTTTACTTACAGTGGCGCATAAACAGCCCGCAAAGTCCAGACGTAACCGGATTTTTTAAAATACCGATATTTTCCCCTCAGTTTCTCAAAAAATTTCATCCACACGTAGCATATTTGAATCGTTTACGACTGTCGACACGTAAACGCAAAGACGGAGGAAATTTTATACAAGAACATAGCATGTGTATATTGCTTGTAATAAGAAATTTTCAAGTTTTCAGAGGATCAAGTTGTAATTGTGTGATGTTTCGTTATTTTATAAAATCATCTCTTTTGCATCATAGAACTATGGATGTTTATAGATGTTTGATTAAAGTGAGATTACAAGAGTTAATGTAGCCAAATAAATCAATGACACAACCGCAAATCTAAAGGAAAATTCTAAAATTAAACGCGACTTACCTGTAAGTTGAAGTTTGATTGAGATTCTACAAGTCATCAGTCGGGAACGAAGGAGTCACATGAGAAGCGCACGAGTGCTTCACTGATCAGTTTTTGACGTGAACAGTTGCAGGAAAAGAAGAACGAAGAGTCACGGGAGGGGAGGGTGTGAATAATATATATGGCATGTGACTCCTTCGTTCCCGACTGATGACTTGTAGAATCCCAATTAAACTTCAACTCTCAGGTAAGTCGCGTTTAATTTTAGAATTCTATTACGTCATCAGTGACGTCACTACGGAGTCACAAGAGATTTTAAAGTCCTGCAGCTGTTTACTATGTGCGTATGAATCCAACTCAACATTTTGTAAAAATATAAATCCTTTTATGCGAAATTTAACAATATATATCATTTACCAAATGCTATTCAGGATAACTGAACTGATATCATCACTAACTTGTGTTTATCATGAAACTTTGCGAATGTACCAGAATTGGACCATCCTGCTGATTCCATGATGTTTATGTAAATTTAAGCCAACCGCTTTAGCACAAGAAGTTGAAGCGGCAGGAGTGCTGTAGCAAGAAAATTCTTTTGTGTCAATTCCGGATTGTTTAAGAGTAACTTTTACCCAACGGGCAACAGTATCTTCCTTTAGTCACTACCTTATGTGGTTGCTAAAACTTATAAGCAGTTGGGTTTTTCTTTTGCAAAGTAGTTGTGCGTTTAATATAGTCTTGAAGGTAACTTATGACGCAAAGTCTCTTGTCATCCGGGTATTCTCGTAGGTGCGGAGGGGCTTGGTGTTTCCCTATCTTGGTCTGTTTAAGTACGTGATAGATGGTAATAACACATCCCTCATAAGTAAACTGAATAAAATTCACATCAATTTGGTGAATGATTTGACATCGCTGTCCCGACAATAATAAAGCAACGTGGCTAAGTTTATTGTGAGGTTTTTAAGTTTAATTTGGTCAACGGAACGAAACTCAGTTAGGTAATTGAGAACTTTCTTCACATCCCATATTTTAGAGTATTTTGGTAAACATGGTTTTAGTTCAACTACTCCTTTTAGAAGTCTGCAAACCAAAGATCTTTACCGAATGAGATTCCAGCGTTTGGAATGATCACCGAAGATAAGACAGACCGAGCAGTGTTAATAGCACCGTAACCCATCCCTGAATGAAACAGTTTGGAAAGAAATTGAATGGCTTTTGCCGTACGGGCTCATGTGATGGAAGTTTTTGCCGACGACAAAATTCTTCCCAACGTAACAAATATGACTTATATTGTTTTCTTGTACCTTTTACGCCATGATGCAATGGGAATTTCTTTCGCTGCATTTGACAGATTTTGGTATGCTTGATTTTCCCGGACCATCTGTGATAGTTCCTTGTAAAGTGGATGAATCTCCTCCGGATAACTAGGAAGTTTTTATAGTGTCAATTCTTTTAGGTGTATCGGAGGCTTTTCCATTATTCCTAGAGCTTTTGGGTACCACGGTTGGGATGGCCAATTTGGAAAAGCCACACACATCTTGCTTTGTCTTCTTTTATTTTCTTCAGTACATTTCTTGTAATACTGAAGGATGAAAAGCATAGAACATAAGTTGAGACTAAAGTAGACTAAATGCGTCCACTGACGTTGCATGAGGGTCGGGCCGATAAGAATTATAGTTTTTACATTGTTTATTTATCCTTGATGCAAAAAGATCAACATGAGGTGTATAGCCTAGTTTCCCCAAAGCATTTGTCAAACAACTACTATTTATCATCCATTCCGACGCTCTTTCAATCCTTCTAGACTCAAAATCTGCAATAAAATTGTTACTCCCAGGTATATGCACGGCACTGACCCATATCTGCCGAGCATTGCACCATTCCCAGAGCTTCTTAAGTAAACTGTTGCAGTTCTCAGAATGACTAGGACCTATATTGTTAACAAAACTAACTACCGAAGTGTTATCAATCATAAGGCAAATGTGTATGTTAGAGTTAGTTTGAGCAAACGTTTTTAAATCTAAAAATATATGAAATAGTTCCAAATAGTTTATGTGTTCTCTGCTCTCAGAATTTGACCACAATCCTCTGGTGCTTATATTTTGGCATGTTGCTAACCAACCCCTTTGATGCATCGGTTGTGATAACCATGAAAAATCAGTTTAAATGGTTGTTCTAATAAGTTGAATGACTACCAGTTTGATTCTAAAATAGCTTTGTTAGAGAGGGTTACTTTAGCATCTAAATTACCATTATTTTTAGTTAAAGCTAAAGATTTATCCTTTTCTAAACTCCGGTAATAAAGAGGTCTGAAGAATAACGTGTGTTGATGAGTTTGATATGCATTTGTCAAAACAAGCTAAAGAAGACAAACAGCATGCCAAAAACATATGATTGAAAATTTGCTCAGCGCATTGTAACTTTTCTTCTCGAGTAATTTTACGATTAAACAGTACACTTTCATATTCAAACGAATTCTTTTGATCGCATAGAGACAGCCGTCCAATTTATTACGTACTTAAGCGTATATAAAGCATTTCCAAATCACGTACAAAACTTCCTTCACATGACCAAATTATCGTCTATTTAAACGATGTATGTTCGAAAAAGTTACCTTGACAACTAAAGGAAACCCTACTTTCTCCAAGCATTTGCAACTCAAATTCATTCCGAACTCTTGAATTTCTCGCAAGGTAGCAGAAAGGAATAGGAAACAAATTTATTACCAAATAAATTACCAAATTTATAACGTTTGCATTCAAGTTCAGCTTTTCTCACTACTTGCACCAGCAGACGTGTCGTAAAAAACAACAAATGCAGCGACATGGGAGCAAAAAAAATGCGATAATTGATTTTGGGGGATATTTTATGTGGCGCCATATATACGTCAACAATATTATTTTTGCATACTCCTTTAGCGATTTGAATTTAACATTTTTGATCGTCCAAGGTCTTGTTTTACTTGAAATTAGCATGATGAATTTGACATGTTGAATGATGATATGAACATGAATTTAAAGTGTTCAATGTTGTTTTTTTTAACAATATTAAAAACATGTTGAAAAACAAGGCCATGAATATTGACAGAAATCTGACGTCATAACCATGAGCAGATTCATGATGTTTATCAATGACACTCATTGGTACCATAGTATGCATGGTATTAATGAAATGTTTTGTTGATGACTTGATGTATATGAACAAATAACATATCGTAAATATACATAATGTTGAAATGCTCGACATATATACAATTTAAATATAAACATTCGTACTTAGTATTAGAACATCATTATTATAAAGATACAGTCTAAGACAGGGTATAGGTTTAACAACATAAAAAAACACAATTATTACAGGTACGTCAATAGAACATTAACAATTAGACAAATATTTACCATACCTTTGTTTCATCCTCTTCATTATTCTCTATCAGATGCTTCATTATTCTCTATCAGATGCATATATTTTACATTGCCCAGTAACTTGTTTTAAATTTCTGTAGAATATATGAGGGTTTCAAGTAACAAAATAATTGACTTTCAGCAGAACAATCAAATAGCAGCAATTCATTTCCACAAGAAGCAAGCTTTGGATATGCTTCAAATATTTTTTCATGACAATGAGAGCTACTGCCATCCACATCATCAAGACAACTTTGTCATTTCTTTCACAGTTCTTGGTGGCTTAAATGCACTGCTACTTTATAAGCAAACAAATTTAAGAGAGCAAGAATGAAGTTTATGTTTAATCACAGTGTTTCTTTTCTTGGGTTGCTTATCCTTTTATCCAAAAACCGACTGTGTTCACTTATCTGAGTGCTTCCTGATGACAACTTTGGTTAAAACTATTTGAACTGGCAGCAACAAAACTTGCTGAAGTTGACTGCTCTTGGTTAGAGTGGCTCTCAATTGTTATTCCATTAACTACACCTAAAAATGTTTCTGATACATAACAATTCAATCAAATGGAAGCATAAAATAATAAGCCGATTCATACAGCACATACTCTTAAAGTCTAACTCTCCAAGAGAGAACAATAAAAGATACTGAACACGATTTTCTTTGAGATAATGCTTTAGTAAGTATGTGACAATCGAGGACCAGGCTTTACTGTCATTACATTACCAGCATCCATTGAATTTATAAAAAATCAAACAGTTGATACAATACTTGTTTGTTTCAACGCTTTACATGTGTAATGTGTTGACGGTTTAGAATAAAAAACTGGGACTTATAAGCACTAATTTCAAAATCAAAAATCAATTTAATAATAAAACAACTGACTAGTTGTTTGTTGCCTGAAACGTTCGGCAACCTGTAACAATGCATTCCTTGCCAAATTTATTTCGTTTGGGTTCATGTTCAATCGGTTCAGTTTTTCTCACCACCCTGCACAAACACACGTGTGAGGTGTTGTAAAAAACAGCAAATGCTAAAACAGGGGGGTGGGGCGAACAAAGGATGCAATGATTGATTTTCGCGGATATTTATGCCAAATGATGCCAATGCCAAATTATGCCAAAAGGATGCTAATCAAAATCCAAAATGGCGTCCGTAGACAAAGAATGCCAGGACGACGAACTCATAGCCCTGAGTTCTATTTACGACGAGCGAATGTTTTCGAAATTTGAAAGTGGAGGGAAAATAGAAATATTGCTTGAGATTCCTTATGACTTTAAAATCAAGATTTCGAAAAATTCATACTTGAATATAAATGGTTGTGATGATGATGATATAATATGGGATATCTTTCCTGTGAAATTCTTACCTCCTTTAGTTTTAAATTTTTTCTTTCCTTCCTGCTATCCATCTCAATTACCACCAAAATTTACTCTTAATTGTCAATGGTTAAACCAAGAACAGGTATTGAAATACTTTATTTAATATTTTAAGACCGAAGAATGTACTTTCAGCCTTTCAGTTGCGATCATTTAAAAAAATTGATATCTGTTTTTTGAAATAAATCACCCTTCTGTATAAGCAGACAGCAAATCATCAACAAGATAAATATAATTAAGTTTCTCCCTTGCCATTCTCCCCTATCTATGTATAAATATTTTGTTAAATTAATTTCAGCTTTCTTCATTGTGCAAATCGTTGGATTTGTTATGGGAGGAAAGTCCTTGTGAAGTCATTCTTTTTCGTTGGATACAGTTTCTTCAAGAGGATACGTTGGAAAGCCTTAACATCTCTTCACCGTTAATACTTAACTGTCAAGAAGTGAATAAAAGACATGGTTGTGTTGATATAAGAGCCATTCAGAATGTTTCTTCAGTTTCCATTCTTCTAAATGAAATTCTTTGTTTTGATCAAGAGGAAAAAACACGAGCGTTTGATTTGAGCTACTTTACCTGTCGTATATGTTTTTCAGAAAAATCTGGTGCTTCTTGTATAAAATTCCCAAAATGTGAACATGTGTTTTGTTGTGAATGTGTCTCGGAATATTTCAAAGTACAAATTGAAAGTGGTTTGGTGAAAGCTTTAAACTGTCCTGAAACAGACTGTGATTCTCAAGCACTTCCTTCGCAAGTCAAAAAACTTGTCAGTCCAGATTTATTTGCGAAATATGATAAGTATCTTTTGCAGATCAGTTTAAATGAAATGTCGGACTTAGTTTACTGTCCAAGACCTTCATGTCAAAGTCCTGTGATCTTGGAAAAGGATACAACAATGGGAGTTTGTGGAATATGTCATTTTGCTTTCTGTTCTCTATGTAAACTAACATACCATGGTATTTCACCATGTGTCTTCAAAGAAAATGAAATTCGGAAACTAAAACAAGAATATGAAAATGCAACAGAAATTGAAAAATTAGCTCTAGAAAAACGCTATGGAAAGAATCATATTCAAAGAATGATTGATGATTTGATTTCTGAAGAATGGCTTGCAGAAAACTCAAAACCATGTCCTCGTTGTAAAGCTCGTATTCAGAAATCTGAAGGCTGCAATAAAATGCATTGTTCTAAGTGTCAAACAAATTTTTGCTGGCTTTGTGGCAAGATATTGGATGAACGTAATCCTTATCTTCACTTTAATACATGGAACTCGCCATGCTACAATAAATTGTTTGAAGGTGTCGAAATTGATGACGATTAATAAGACAATTTATGGTAGTTACAATTGGGTAGTTATTATATTTCATATTGGCATAATGTAATAATTAAAATAAATTATTAATTAGTTTATACACTGCAATAAAAAGTCGAGATTGATCCGCACAGTTAAATCTTCCGTGGTTCAACTGCAGCTTATTAAACACTTTTATCAAATAACTCAACTCTCCTCCAAAAACTATTTCCTCTACAATTTGCAAATCTGCCTGAGAAAAATTTCTTTAAAAATCATTCAAGAGATGAAAGCCATTCGTGACAAGAACAGAACTAACAATAATTACTACTCAGAAAATATGTTTACGAGTCCTGTATATATTCTTTCACCGAAAGACTAATTCTGCTTTTTTCGTTCGTCTCTTGCATTTACTCCTCGCTCTATGAGTTGTATTTTTTCTTACTGTCAACTGTAGTTTCGACTCTCGACTTTAATTCAAATAACCACCGTGACCATTCTAAAAATTAAGCGTGAATTTATTGTGTAATGCAAAGAAACTACTATCAATAACCAAAACTAATTATAATTTCTGTAATTTCTATGAATAGTTTAGCTAACTGAAGAATTTTTGCTTTCGATACTTGCAATGCTTACGGCATGGAGCAGAGCAAGAGCGGCACAATTCATTGCCGTAAATATTGAATGGGTTCTCGTGCAGTCGTGCTTTTCTGTATGTGTGTACTCCCCAGTTCTCAACAGGCACCGCTGTTATTTAAGTGACTTGTATAGAAAAAATTATGGCATTTAACTGCAGAGTTCAATAAGACAAGTCAAAAGGAAGTGAGGTTCAACAGGGCGCGTTGATTTAGATAACTAAAATTAACTATGATAGTTGAGATGTTTGTAGATGTAGATCACATATCTACTCACTCAGACGATCTACGTCTACCAACATATAACGATACTTCGGGGTAGTTGAATTGGCAATGTAATAAAGTTTAAAAAAATGTGAGAGGTAACTGCGTTAAGGGAAAATCTTCGCCTGCGCTGGCCTAACAGAGAAAAATATATAGCTCAATTTACTCCAATTAATCTTTATTGTTTTTGTGAACTTCATATTCACAGGGGAAAGCTGTCAATTTGTGACCCACCAAAATGAAATAAAGTTTATCAATGTTTCACGATATGATCCGTCGCGCATAAGTAAAAACCAAGGGAAAAACCCAGCTAAGTCTATAAAATGATAGGATTTTTAAATAGAGCTTTTAGCAGCTCACATGAAAGACAGTTATTTAAATAACAAATTCACATATAATTTTAATTTTTTATAAATTTAATCTTTAATATTGGCAGTATGATAAGTATAGTGTATAGAAATCTTTACATATATAATTCTATTTCTTAGACATTAAATCTTAAATTGACCCAATGTGGCAACTGATGAGCATTGTGTAGGCAGTGACTATCTCACCATAGGATAGAGAAAATAGACTTTTTAGACAAGATGTTTCTCAGTCGAAGGCTTATGTAGTTCTGGCGCAAGCAAACATTAATATAATAATATATACTCGTTGGCCTGCGTATTTTCACAATAATACGAACTGTAAATTTTTAATGTTACATTTCTACATATTGACGGCTCCGAAACTGCTTCATAATAAATTGATTAAATGGTTTTCCTTATGCTTTCAACTGGTTCTTGCATTGTTCATTAAGAAAAAAACTCTTCAATTACATTCAAACGTTGACGTACATCCGTCATGGATATAATATCAACTTTGGTCACAGGGTGCACGGGCAGGACATTGACCGACCACCAGATCCATTTGGGTCCATTACGATCCCCTATATTGTTGCTATCACAGACAGGTAGATGCTGGATTCCAATCTCATTGAACAAACGCATCTAAAAATGAAAATGAACAAAAAATGTTTGGAAATGCATATTTGTTTCAGTTTCATTAATTTTCTGTCGCCAGAAAGTTAAAAAAACAGAAAATAGGTTTATGACAGGTTTTTACTCTTATCTTTAACTCATATTTCACTTCATTTAAGTCACTTGTGCATTCACGTATTACTATCACTGACATGAATATCTCTATATATCTAGTGGGATGAATTTAGGAGAGTACAATTCAAGTTAATGAACGATTGAGGCAGGAACTATGGAATTTATTAAGTTCAGAGAAACATAATTTGTTTAATTCCTATGCAATAACTAAAGTTTATATCATCATGAAATTGTAAACTGGAAACAATTCCCAACATGTTATTGTTACATAGTAAATTATTCCAGCACAAACATTCTAAAGTCTGTTTTCCACTAGCCACGTATCGGAACGTATCGTAGCAAAACGTAACAGGGCGCATGCGTGCTTATGAATTTGATGGTCAATAGGCGCAAGCACGCATGCGCCATGTTACGTTTTGCTACGATACGTTACGGATACGTGGTGTAGTGGAAACAGGCTTAACTTATTGGCTCAGAAACATTTTTGCCGGACTATTATTTTTGCGTAATGGACCACGGTCCAAACGCGTAATTTTTCGACAAAATGTAAACAAACTTCGTACAGCAAACAGAAAAACGAAAAAAAAAACAAAACAAAAAAAACGTAAACGAAAGTGATTCGAAGGAAAAACACACGGAAAGCAGTTTAACTTTCCAGACGACACAATTTATTTTTTATTGACGAAAACTAAAAAAGTGAAAGTCAACACGCACAAAACAGCGATGGCGATAAGAAAGCCTTGTTTCAGGTCAAATAATGCCATAAAATAAACCTTTTATCAACTTCGCTTTCTCTGTCTTTACGGAGAATTATTGGACCTGAGTTTTTTTCTATAAATCTCGCCCTACCGGTTTGGTCTGTACAAAAAAACTTCGGTCCTACATCTCTCGGTAAAGAGCTCGAGCTTGGTTGATCAGGGCTTAATAATATTTTTTATTTACCTAACACATAAATACTTTAAAAATACGATTGCTTTTATGATAGAACATGCCCTTGTTTGGATATCCCCACTGCTTTACGTCATGTTAGCTATATTTTACATTACAGTTACCTTGGTAATTACGTCCAATGACAAAAACCATGCAATGACTTTATCGTAGAGAATCTGTTGACGCTCTTTGAGTGTCTCTAGAGATTCAAGATATTCAAATTCACAGTAATTGTCGCTAGCCAAATATGTTAAATTACTATTTTCTATTCCTTATAAACAGTTTTCCTTATAAACTATTTTCTATTCCTTAACAAAAATAGCAATCCTCAACACAAGTTACAATTTATGACTTCAGGGTGAAGTTGTCATACAAGGATTTAGTCGTAAGATTCGAATACAAGGATTTAGTCGCAAGATCCTTATGCCAGGATCTAGTCATAAGATCCTTATACCAGGATCTAGCCATAAGATCCTTATACCAGGATCTAGTCGTAAGATCCATATACCAGGATCTAGTCGTAAGATCCATATACCAGGATCAAGTCATAAGATCCTTATACCAGGATCTAGTAATAAGATCCATATACCAGGATCAAGTCATAAGATCCTTATACCAGGATCAAGTCATAAAATCCTTGTACCAGGATCCAGTCATAAGATCCTTATACCAGGATCAAGTCATAAAATCCTTGTACCAGGATCAAGTCATAAGATCCTTATACCAGGATCAAGTCATAAGATCCTTATACCAGGATCAAGTCATAAAATCCTTGTACAAAGATTTAGTCGTAAGATCCTTATACCAGGATCTGCAGTTATTAGTTATTAATCCATGAAAATTTTCCAAAGGAAAAAAATATGAAAAAAAGTCCGATGCACAAACCAATATCCTCTTCGGGTATTATTTCATCTTTCAGCCATTCAACTTTTGCTGTATTATAGCCATGTTTCTTTCCACGGCTTAATACCTGAAAGAAGAGAATTAAATGACCAAGTTGAACAACAACCACTCATCTTATTTTGTTGAAACTAATGGTTTCTCCATTGGTGTAAATCTAATAGCTTTTAGAAAATTATCTCATGTCAATATAACTCGAATGTCGAGTTTACAAGATGATGCTTTTGGAGTATGATTTCTATTATAATGGATACTGTGATAATACGTTCATGACACCATTGTAATGAACACGTCAAAGGCAGTTTGCATTTACAATATTTTCCCTTAGTGCTCAATTCTATAAATCAAAAAACAATTGGTCTCTCTAACTAAAAAATGGTCAAGCTTCATAATGACCCAAAACTCATCTGACGTAGTAAATGCGACGATAATATTGACCCACTTTAATATGCCCCCCCCCCACGCAAAAAATATTGCATAAGAATCCATGATTTTTGATTGTATAAGCCTTAGAAGTAGACTATTGAGATGGCTCTACCTTAAAGCGTCTTCCACCAACGGTTTTAATAAGAGATCGTCCATCAGATAGAAGAGTAAATTCTTCAATTTTCAGCATAACACCATAATCAGAAAAACTACGGTAATTATCAAGAAAATACGTAACCAAACAGAAGATAGCAACTACCTATATAGATTGTTCGAAATATTTTAAGACATAGTCTCGCTTATCATAATTTCCAAAATTCTAAAACAAAAATATTTTCGGAAAATATTTATAAACAAAATTCACATGTTGAGATGACTATACCTGCCATCATCCCAAGGACAACACATTCCAAATTGTCTTGAACCAGATTCCATGGATTCACGTACCATTAGGCGATAACGTGGTTCAAATATGCATAAAGGGCAAGGAATTGTGGGAAGGGCTATAGTGCAAACAAAGATAGGAACCTCGTCACCAGTATCGAAGGCAATGCTGAAATGATAAAGAAAATGAAATTGACCAAAGAGCCATTTATTTACTAATTGAATGACAACACTTTATGTGCAGTTTTGATTATCCAATAATTCAATGACAACATGGGTGTTCCACGAGGGGTAGGGTAAGTGAGAGTTGTAACATACACAAGGCATCAAAGATTCAGGCAATTTTAACAATCACAATTTCATACTTTGCAAGTTTTTCAACTTCCTCTTCGTGTTGTAATTTTCTTTTCTGAAATTCTTCTCCTAAGTACTTCATGCATATAGCAGTTATACTTTTCGTGACATTCTATATGGTGTTGATGCAATGATTTATAACAAAAATAAAGTAAAGAACAATGAAAATAGTGCCTCTAACTCAAACCGTAGGTTCATTCAACATGTCAGCAAGAGAGATTCAAGAAAGAAAACGATCCATAACCTACAACGCTGTTATGACATATTTTATAGAAAAACATAATAAAGCTGTTTATAAAATTAACAGGTTTAATTTCATCCACGCTTGAAGGTTAAACACTTAGGAAGATGTTTTGCTATTCTGACAACATTTAAAACATGAATTCTTATGAATTTTCCGCTCTTTTTTTGCAATTTAGCAGTGCGTTACATAATTGATAACAAAGAACAAATAACTGTAAAATAGCATACCTGATTTTCAATGTTGATATACTAAAACAAGAAATTTAAAAAATGTACAATTAACGCATTGTTATTAAATGCATCCTTGAGATTTTTAAATAAATAGTGAGTTAATGAATAATCGGAAACTTTTGATGTTGATGTTATAAATATGAGCTACAAAGAATGAAGTCGCATCCATAACGAAATCTATAGCAGGTTTATAGCACGATAATATATTATAAATAATTTACTACACTTTATTGTGGACATACATTACTTATGACACATCTGCAGACAGGACATACGGCATTGTGATCAAGACATCGATTTAGACACCATTGACAAAATGTGTGACCACAAGAACACGTTATGGGGTTGTAAAACATCCTGAAGATTAGAAAAACCGCTGTTATTGCACATGCATATTGAGTTCGGACTATTTGAGAATTAGATATGTGGTATTTGGGTAGTGTTCGCGAATGTCACATTTGGATGGAGTGATAGAAGATGTGTAATTACAGTAGATATGGGTTAAAAAAGAATATTTACTTTGTGGTCGAGGTAAGATAATGCAATGTAGAATCCTTAAATAAGACTAAAATATTATACATATCGCTATATGCTTACAAGATCAAAAGAGAAATGATAAAGGTACGTGTCCGTCTAACAAACACATAATTGTCAAAATAAATACCTGCAGCAGAGAGAACATTCAACATCAGTAATTTCAATCTTTTTCGATAATATGGAATTAACTTCTTCAACAAGAACATTCTTGTAACCATCTGCAAGTATGAATCATGGAATTTCAATTAGTTTTTTACAGAACCAGCTGACCTATAACATATTCTACATGTCATGTCAAAAAGAAAAAAGGTGTGAAAACCTTTATTTCAAGGAGAAATATGTCCAAAAATCTTTGTCAGCGTATGATAGTCTGTTTATATAAATGCTCTTATTTTGAGTTAACTGGATGTTGTATAAAATTTCTTCTTCTTTTAAGAAGAAATTTGATATTAAAATCATTCATAAGATGAAAATAAAGCCATAAAGAAACAGTGAATGGCAAATATTTGCTTACTTTGTCAAATCATTTATAGCTTTTGGGGCTTAAATTACACTACAAGGCTGAACAGATTCAATGTAGCCACATAGATACTGCTTTTTATCGTTGACTGATGTGATTTTATGAAAAGACTTCTTGAGACACAGAAAGCTTCAAATAAATTATGTACCTTTGCCATTATTTTCAAGATCAAAATTATAAAGCAACGCAGCCATCTCACTGATCATTTTTCCTCCAACACCATTTTGGATATTTCCAAGGATTTCAATCAAGACCTAAAATGACGATTGACATTTAAAAACTGGCAGCCAAAGTTTAAATTCATTCCGCAAGGAAAGAGAACACTATATCCAATGTAAATGAACGTAATTCATTGCCTGAAAAAAGACGATTTAAATCATGAAGCTTTTGTTTGAAATATACCTCATCGTAAACATAAAGACATTTTGTCTCAGTAACATAACACTGACATAGTAACTTTTATATAAGCTTTGTATTATTTATGTAAGGAAGACAATTATTATTACTGATATGAAAACATTTTGAACAGCTAGCTATGCTGACAACTTTTTGCCATTCATCGATATAAATAAATCGACTTTTTCTCAGCAAATGCTTGAGTGCAGTATAGCAAAGTGGAAAGTTGAATTTTAAAAGAAAACCGTTCAAAAATAATCGATTCGTGCAAAGATTTTGTACTACTGAAAAGTGCAAGAGGGAATCTTACATTACGGAAAATTTAACCGATATAGTCAAGAGAAAAAATGCACAAGAAAAAACATTTTTATACATAATTATCGTGCAATAGACGAACAACACAACGAACAATCTACAAATAATATCCCAATTCCCAATCGTCCAAAAGTCAATATGTGCGCGTGCATGTGAAGTGAAAACGTGAATAATACTTTGTGAAAAAAGAAAAAAAATGCAAATTCACCTTGTAAAGAGCCTGACGCGCCAAATCATTTTCTGGTTCAACAAGAAGAACCCTGATGTAAGCTACAGCTGCTTGCGGATATTTTTTTAGACCAACATTAGCTTGACCTTTTCTGTAAAAACCCTAAATACATGTTAAATAGTAAATCATCAATCAGGCTATTACAGACTTCATAGAGTTAAGAATACTTACATGGACAGTAACAAAGACACCGTAATAGATGTATAAAAAGGTACAAGACATAAAGTTAATTCATTTCTTATCTATAGTACAGGGGGGGTTTCATGAGTTATTTCGTGGAATTAATTCCGTTCACAAACCGTTTCTACTTTATAATTACACGATCAAATGAGTTTAACATATCAAAGCAGAACTTTCCTTTAAGTTCAATAGTTGAGTTGTCCTGCATTGACATGAAGTAAATGAACAGAGTCTCCTTAGTAAGAAATGGAAAGATCCATTTATTCTAAATAGGTTTTCAATGAATTTTTTCTGATATCGCATAATTTTGTTTTTTTCGTGCTGGACATGAGAAGATGTTGCTTATTTCCAATTTCTTTAGTGTTGCAACGCTTGTAATTTCTATCATTTTATGTGGGGTCGGTTGGCTTTTGTTGTAACGACCAATTTCGACTGGTAGTTTATGAGCTTAAATTCGAATTTTAGTTACGGCTTACCAATGTTTAATATTATAAAATTTAGTTGAAGTATTTGTTAAAACCTAAAGACTTTTGAAAACACCTTTAGTTTTCCTTTTCTTTCACCATCTTGTTGATTTTGTTCATTACATGCTCACTTAGACTCAATTAATTTATTTTGGAGCAAAATGTTTCTCGCTTTTTTGGGTGCTATAACACTAAAATCGTCTTCTTTACCAAATAATTGACGGTAAAGACTTTATAATGTATATGTTATGTCATTTATATTGTATTGGGTCAATTAGACTCAGTATTATCAGAGCCATCCATTTGTAATTCTTGCGAATAGAGGACTCTGAGTATCATGGGTAATCCTGTGTTGTGTAAATCAAAGCTCACCTTAATCCAATTTGGTTGAATTTTGCAAGCTTTCTCAGCATAATCAAGTGCAGTTTTATATTCATCTATTGCTGAGTAAACATGTGATAAATTGCCAAGGAGAAAATAGTTCAATGGATCTATTGAAATATTTGAGAAATATTTAATGGAATTGATAAACTATATATCTTAAGTTGGCTTGTGACCAGACCAGACTGGAAACTTTGTAGTGGGTGCAACCTTGAGTGTGCAATTCTGATAAAATAAGGCTTTTATGTATGTACATTTCCAATCTTGAGAGCACAGTTTACAAATTTTCCAGTCAGGTTACCAGGTATGGTGAAAAAAATTTAAGATAAATTTCTTTCTAAATTTTAATGAAACATAAGTTGGTAGAGATAAGTTAGAGATCCTTACCAAGTTCTAATGCTTGGGAATATTTTTTCGAAGCATCTTTATACTTTTTTTCTTTAACAAAATCATTTCCTTCACATCTCAGTTGCATAGCCTTCACCTTGTTTGGAAGATACTTATCAATAATGTTTGTAAGAACAGTGTTTACTGCATTTCCTTCTTTTTGACTCCTACGATTTACATTCGGGGCCGACAAGTACTTTTTATTTTTCAAGCAACATTTACGACAGTATGTTTGACCACAGGGCATTGTAACTGGATAATAATAGATTTCTTTGCAGTTTTCGCAGATCAAATGTTCATCTAACAAACAAGTCTGTTCATTTTCAGCATCATGTTCACCGAGTGTACGCCTTAACGTCGAAGTTAAATTCTCAATGAAAGTCTCCAGAAAAGACGAACACCAATGCTGACTATTAAAAGCGTTAAAAAGGCTTTCAAAGCAGTCTTGCCAAAGATAAAGAGCCATTTGACAAGATGCTTTACCCAGTATCATATTCAAACGACTTGAATGAGTTGAATCCTCATGAAGCAAAGCATCATATATTTCAAACGCTTTTTCATAATTGCCCTCTTTGTAAAATTGCTCTGCAAAAGAGACTCGATTCATTGCGTTAAGTGCAAAGGCAAATTTCACTTATTGTTATCCAAATTTTGAACGACGACTTTGTCAGAACTTATGCAATGTTTTGCATTACATCACCCGACATCCCTCAACTCCACGTGTATTGCTGTCAGTTGTCTCCTGACGAGCGCATCATGTCTCGTGCAATCCTTTGAAAGAATTGTCGCAGCTTGCAGCAACAAGACAAACTTACCAATCGTTGTCGGAGTAGTCACGTTCTTCATATCGTACATAATATAAAATATATAATGATTAATTTTGCTCAGCTGTGAGCTTTTGAGGGTGTGACGAAGGAGGACTTTACGTAAATGTTGTGTAATAATGTTTGTTTTTGTCACGTTTACGTACTTGAGCACCATCTATGCTACTGACCATGCACGAATAAAAATTGTGGGCTCAGATTACTTTTTTCTGGTGTGGGTGGGGTGGGTGTTGAAAAGAGGAACCAACATCGGGGTGAAGTGAACCCGAAGCACCAATTTTGTTCTTTACACGGTGGCAACAAGGAAAGTTAGTAAACAACCTAACGGAAAAGAAAAAATGACACAGTTATGGTAAACATCCCAAAGTTTTCCTTTTTCAACATAAAATTGTGTTTCGAAGTGAGTTAAAGTCAAGCTGTCACGTCCATGATGATGATAGCACATCGTTTAAATGCATAACAAATCATTTTTCCGAGACCATAGGATTATGAGGAAAGAAGAAGCAAAAAGAATTTAAAAAAAAATACACCCACTAACCCCTGCTAGTTGCTACGATGTCTGTAATCATATTTGTGATTTAAGTACCTGAATCAACCTGAATCATAATCAGTCATTCATGCGTAGTATATAATTTTTCATAAAATTATACATATCATACTGCAAGTGAACACAGGGATCTTTTTTTTTAAAAAAATACCATTTTTTTGTCTGTCCGACAGTCAATTAACTCAATCATGAGCGGAATTCGTGTTGTAAATTCTTTGGAAGTTCAAACAGATATCGGAAGATGTTTTATCGACCTTTGTGTTGGTGATATTACAGCTTTGGAAAAACGCGACGAAGTTGATGTACTTGTTGTATCGGCTTTTCCAGGTAAGAATTCTATGGAACTTGAAGAGTTTTTAGTCACACGGGCTTCTCAAATTACACTTATCACAGCGTATGTCGTGTTTGTAGATTTTCTCAATTGTATGAACAATTTGTCATTGCCGACTACTGTATTCACGTTTTACCGACGTTGTACTCAATGTAGAATTTTCCCATTTTTACCGCTTTAATTTCTATATGGCAAAATTAAACGCATATAAAATGCTCGAATAAAATTATACAGAAACTCCGATAAAGCTCCGATATTTTAATTCAAATTTGGATACTTAGTTGCAAATTTATTCAACATTTATTCAATAAATTGTCTTGCGTTGGATATTTTTAGGAGACTATATACCGACTGATACCTCTCTTATTGGCCAGCTTTTTAAAAAGCTAGGTGTTAGTGTGAAAGACTTGTCAAAAGACAAAGAAGAGGACTTACGAAGTCTATACTCTTGCTGGTGGTCTAAACCTCTTCCTAAGCATCTTAGCTTCAAGAAAATACTTTGCTTTGAAAGCGGGTAAATTATTCTTGTCTGTTAACGATTCATTTTCACAGTTCATTGTGTTGCATTACATATGTGTCTATTTTAGAGGACGCTGTGGGTTCACAGTAGGTCAACTTGTTGGTGATGTCTTCAGATGTTTGGTTCCAATTCTTGCAAATAAAGAAGGGAAGGTCATTATGCCTATACTTGCATCAGGCGATCAGGTATTTAAATGGATTTGCTATTGCTTATTTTATTTATGGTTGGTTATTTTATTTGTTTCTAAACAAATTTACTGACCAAGCCACAACCTCTTCTTTTTTATATTTTTAGAAAGCATCTAAAACAAAGATGCTACGACTTCTTTTGAATGCTGCTATCAATTGGATACAAGCTGGTTTACCTTTACGACACTTGAAAATTGTTATATTTTCAAGAGACGTAAAAAACATTAGTGCTTCTGACAAACCATTGTTGGATTTGTTTCAAAATATAAAGAATGATCATGAAGAAAGATTTCATTTCTTTAAAGAGGTATGCTGTGATTTTGAACTATAAAACAAACTTGAGATAGTGCATTTTAAAGATTCCACTTTATTTGAAGTAAAAATCTTAATAAGTAACTAATGAAACATTTATTCTTAGGATGAAACAATTACTTATGAACATGATGTTTACCTTGCGTACAGTGAAGAAGATGTGGAATATGTTGATCATGTGGTCAACAAACTTGAAAAGAGCATGAAAAATATTCGATTATTTTCTGCTGTCCAAGAGCTTAACATCGAAACCTCTTGGCAAACTCAGTTTTATGATGTCATCACCAAATGCAAATGTGTTGTGACTCTAATCACTCCAGGATTTTTGCAGTCAGCACGATGTACTGAGCAATACAATATTGCATTATGTCATAGTCGGAAAATGCAAAAAAATATTTTAATGCCACTTTACATCATCGAGGTTTATTATATGCCAACATACATGAAGATAACGCAGTACATTGATTGCAGGTATTAAAATAACGCTGTTCGTTGATTGTATGTATAGGATAACGCGGTACATTGACTGTTAGCATGAGGATAACGCAGTACATTGATTGCAGGTATTAAAATAACGCTGTTCGTTGATTGTATGTATAGGATAACGCTGTACGTTGACTGTTAGCATGAGGATAACGCTGTATGTTGATTGTATGTATCAGGATAATGTTTTATGTTGATTGTTAACATGAGGATAAGTGTATTTTAAGGTACATTTTGATAACTGTGTAATTAGAAAGTACTACATACAAATACTGCGTAGATACTTTCAGATGTGTTAGTAATGTATAGTATTCCATGTTTTTCAGGAGGGATTTTGAAGAAAACTTGAGTGCTGCATGTATAACAGTCATTGAAAGTCTTTCTTCGAACGTCGTCAAGAAAAGGAACTTTATTGATAGTGATAAAAATATCTCTCAAAAACCATCACAACAAAGTTATGATGTTTTTTTGTCATATTGTCATCTTAATGCTGACTTTGCAACGTCTTTGGTCAAGGAACTACGGCGGGAAAAACCAGATATTAATATTTTTATCGATACTGCAGAACTTAAAGCTGGCGGAGCGTGGCAACTGGTATTGTATGATGCTTTAGGTAGGTAAGGTGTCTGCCCTAAACCTCATAGTAAACCACTCTAGTTTATCTATTTTGCGCATTACACATGACGTCATAACTTGTCTCATTTACTATGCAGCTAGCTGTGTCAAAATACAATGGAATCGATGAGTTTCAAAAATTTATTGTTTACAAAATGATCTTTTTAGACAAAAACGGCCTAAGAACGAAAATGACAACTGTTTTCTCAAATGCCAGCACTGAGTGCCAGTAGCTTCTCATGTACGCTTTTAAATTGCCATATCACGTGACTATTTACCATACCCAATTCACGTGACTATTTACCATACCCATCTCACGTGACTATTTACTGTCAAACTTAAATCCTTTTTGGTAATTTAAATATTTGTTTGATTTCTTTATTTAGAATGCTCAAAGTTTGTCGTTACGTTGATATCAAATGAATATTTAAGTTCAAAAGTTTGTATGGAGGAAATATCCATTGCTATTGCACTTCAACTTCGCAAGAGTTGCAAGGTTTGGCCCATATTGATTGGAAGCCTGGATAAAAACGCGTCGTGGTTAAAGTTCCTTAGTCCTAAAACTTTTCCTCAAGACTTTAAAGAAGACGATTCTCCGATGGCGTTTCTTTCCCGTCAATTTCTGGTTAATTTTTATGGTAAATTTACTTCCTTAAAAATGTGTTAAAGTCTTTTTTATTGTTTATAGTTTAGTAAAAATTTATATATTTTATAATAAGGTTCCGTTTGCGTCAAGCGTCTTATTTCTCAAGTACTAAACCGTTAAGTTAAAACTCTATGTACGATACGTTGTATGTTCAGTTACAAAACTTTAGATGTGATACGTTGTATGTTCAGTTAGAAAACTTTAGATGTGATACGTTGTATGTTCAGTTACAAAACTTTAGATGTGATACGTTGTATGTTCAGTTAGAAAACGTTAGATGTGATTGTATGTGTGCATTGTGCAAATTACACAAAAATTTCTGTTCAATATTTTTTGTTTTTGCAGAAAATGAACAAACAGTCACTTGTAAAGACATTTTTCAGCCGTTTTTTACAAGTTTAGAAGAAGCTCGGATCTTATTCATGGATAAGAAATTTGAGGCACTTGTTGATGGTTCTCTAGACTTTCCTTTAGGTAAACCTGAGGACAATCCAGACGCCCCCCTTCGGGATAATCCAGACGTCCCCTTTGAGGATAATCATGACTCCCCCCTTGAGGATAATATTCCTAAATCATCGACTTTCACACCTAAAGAAGGAGAAGATGGCATTGATGTGTATGTCATTTGCTCACATGAGGATGAAGAATCTTTTTTAGTGTTTCAAGAATTTCTTTCTTTCAAAAAATCGTTCGTTGTGAAGAGCTCAATGATAGAGGACGCTACTAGTCGCCTGATGTATTTAGAAAAAGCTCGGATAATTGTACCACTGTTGTCAAGTAGTTTTTTTCAGTCGTCGGAACTGATCCATGAACTGAATATTGCATGGTGTCGTCAAAGAGTTTGCTCAAAATTATGTTTTGTAGCAATTACTTTAGGGAAATTGCCACAATCTATGACGTATTTTCACCTTTTCCCCTGTTTTTTCAATGCACAAGATGATTGTTGGACGAAAGATCGTGATACATTGGAGCTTGTCAAATGGGAAAAATTGACTCGAATTCATAGAAATTATCAGACTCAACTTAATGTTTTACGTTGCTTATCCACGGCTGCAAGGTGCATTCAGAGCTGGGAGGATGGAGAGTATTGCCCTTTCTTAGGTATACACAATAAGTTATTTAACTATCTACAACTGAGAGAGTGTATTAAAAGATATAAAGAGACTTTATTGAACAGTGTTGAGGTTGATCATGATAAAAATACCGTGGCTCATTCTTCTGATAATGTACATCAGTTGTATCGAGGAAATGATAAAAGTGAGATGCTAAGTGATAAGGAAGAAGTTCCTGTAGAGACATCTGTAATCGAAAACCATCGAGAAAACGATTATCACCACACGCCAAAGTCCGTTGTTTTGACGAGTTCTCTCTCAGAACTGAACGAGAAACAGCCTGATACTCGTGGTAAGCATGATGGAGAGAAACATAGTGAAGAACAGATAAACATTGATGTTCTTTCAAATGACTTAAAGACAGTAAATGATGATGACAGTAATAGCAAAACAAACTCATTAAGCGTTAACTCAAAAAATCATGTGAAAAAATCTAGATCATGTAACGTCGTGTAACGCTGTCCACGTTAGTATTAAATGATCGATGTGCAAGCATAACACAACTATATACGTACATAAACTTTAGTAATTAAACATTTCATTAACTCAAAGTATGTAGTTCTTCCTATGACTGACTCCAACCTTTCAACGTCAGAAATTAACATTGGTTAAAAAAAATTTCTAGGCAATGTAGTGATGTAAGCTCACTGAGAACATTTTCTTCTTAGAACTTTAATATTTTATTGCGTTACGTGCAAAACAAGAAATCGAGCGAGGTTACCAAGTAGTTAAAAGTAGCAAAACGACTACATAAGATGGGGGGTAATCCCCTTACGTTAGCTAATACAAAATTCAATATTTTTGGCACGTTTGGAAAATCAATTTCTACGGTGATAGTGTAAAATTTAGAGGGAATAAAGGGTCAGGTTGGCTACTCCCATCAGATCATGTAAATAAATTGGTCTGTCACTCGCTTTATTTGATTAATAAAAGCAAAAACCAAATCGACTAGAATTAAGTAGGCGTTGAAATACACTTAATTACACAAATTTTTCTTCACAACATATGAGAACTATTTGCAAAGTCATCGCGGTAATCATCACAGTGAATTGGGAAATTTATAAATGGACAATTTTGTAAGATTCTCATTAAAATATGGGCAAATAACACAAAACACACCATGAATCATCATTCTTGGCTATGACTTTCAAGATGGACGATCTTATGGTATTTGAAGTTTGGAAGTATTTCCTATTGATATTGGTCATGACTTTAACAATAAAGTGCTGCGAAGATGGTACGTTTAGTACAGAATTTCTGGGCGATTGTTTACCATGTCCACTAGATCCAGAAAACAATTGCAGTCATGAAGACCCAAGTGATGTCAACTCATGCCTGAAGTCATGTACAGGTAATATAAGTGAAGATTGTTTCATGTACTAATAAAATTCGATCAATAAACGGCTTATATGCGCTGTAGTTTGATGATTAATACATTGCAAAGAACATTTATCAAAATAACATTTACTTTACAAGAGGGACTTCCCCGTAATTATTAACACTTATGTAAGTAAATGAGTAATGAGATTATGCAACTACAGCTACATGAATGTACTTTACAGATTCAATGAAGATGAAGAATGAGGAAATTCATGTAAACGTGACGAAAACTGCACAAAATATCAATAAATCTGACGATGATCAAATAATGAAACCAAACACTACATCATCATTCCCTAATTTCACAACCACAAGTAACTTTACCAAAATTGAGGCAAAACCATCAACAAAGTACTCCACATCGCCAACGAAAAACCCACTTGAAAGAACAGATAATGAAAGTTACATTGGACATCTCCCTAAAGATGCTTTCATGGTGTTAGTAATGGTTCTTGGTCTTGGTTTATTTATTGTCATGGGTATAATACTTCGATGTAGATCAAATCATCAAAAGACTAATCGTTCCACCTGTGCAGGGTATCGCCTTGTATATACAAAAAAACAAAAAGAAACTGTATAGTGTATACCAACACAACAAATTTTATGAACTAATTGTGAATGATCTTCCTTTCTAAGTATTTTATTGGTCAACAGTTTGTCATGTGAGAGTGAAGAAATTAAGCTGTTTCTTATTTTACCCCACAAATAGTTTGATAGTGAAAAAGGGGTGATACGTTATCTACCAATAGATAATGAAAATATAACATTTGTCATAGTGTGAAGATGGTACTTTATGGTGATGTTAGTCAGCCTCTGATTCAACCAAAAAGCAAGCTCATTTTTCAAAAATTTACTGAGTGTTTCTTATATATTTTATTTATATATATTATTTAAAAATCATTATCAGAGAATCAGATTATGAATGTATGAAAGTACCTTATTTATTTTGTTGTGACCTTAGTTTTCTTTTCGACAATTGGTATACATAAATATAAAAAATATTTCTACTGTCTGTTAATAAACCTTATGTATTGTGATTATAATATAATTAGAAAAGTATTTAAATGACAAAATATGTCGTACATTCAATCCAAAAATTTCTGAAAATACATAACGTTATACCTGACAACACTAGTCTTGAATTTTAAGAATATTTCGTTTTTCCAAGTCGTCCATTTCCTTCAGCAAAAATGCAACATCATATTGCAGCTCATTAAAAGTCGACAGTGAAACCTGATAATTTGAAAAGAAATCATTAAAGTTCAGAGAAAATTGACAATATCATATTTTACTAATTCCAACTTGAATATGGTTTCATCCCTGAGGAACAGACCCTAAACCTAAACCTAATTTGTTTCATTGAGTATGTATACACCAATCCTTTTAAAATTGAATCCTCTCCGAGTTTTTTGACTATCCTTGTTTATCTGGACATTTATGATTTCACTAAAACATACACATCATCCAAAAAAGATTCCTGTATCTATCATCAATTCCACTATCTCAATTATGGTCCAATTTTCGCTGTTAATTGTAAATAAAAATTAATCTAATGCTCTCTAATGGTATTAATTCTAACTAAACTGCTCCCTCCAGAACACTCACAAGATTACTTAACTTGATACATTACTATGCTTACACGACTTTGATAAACTTATGCTCACACACATTGACAGACTGACAGCTGCCCTTCACATTCACAATCTAACTTCTTCTGGTATACTGTTTCTTATTGTATTTTCCATAATGGTTTCTTTTGAAATTCAAGTCACAACTTTCCTAAGATTAACATGGAATAAACTTTGTACAAGCTTTTTTATTCAAACATTTCTGTTATTGCTCTCTGTGCCATTTGTCATGCACGTACAGATTTCATTTTCCATATATATCTGTACAATAGCTAGACTAAGGTAGCTAATATCAGATTTTAAATACAGTCTAACATTCCCATGAGCCTTTGGGACTATGACAAGGTGTTTGCTTATAGGTCTCCACTTATGAGCAGTACTAACATATTTGGCAAGGACTAAGTTGTAATTTTAGGGGCATTTACCTCAAAAGATTTAACAGAACCATCGCTTGACTTAACTTCCATTAAAATGGTTGGGACAAGAACTCTATTAAGGGAACTGGATGAAAAAAAATGTGAAGTTTTATAAATGGTCAAGACTAAACAAGAGAAGATTGAAGTGAATCTTTGAATAATATTTGTTGTAACTAAATGATTATTCAAATACATTATTATGACAATCAAATTCCTACATTTATTTTAAGACATTATAAATAACACAAACCTGGTTGATATGGTAACATCGACTCTCCATTTAAGTGATTCTAAGGATGGTAGACTTGTCTTGCTTTTTAAAACAGGCATTCTTTCTAGCTTTGTTTGGCTATTTTTTATTAATAAAACAATCAAAATGATGCATCATAAGAAAAGGCTTCAAATAAGTGAAAGTGATTACAATAAAACATCAGGTCATTATTGTACTATGACTATTTTTATAATTATATATGTTATACCTTTTTGCAAAAACAATTTTTATGATCTCATTCACAAAATTTTCAGGAATTCTAAAGGAAGTAAAATTAAAATAAACTGATGTTATTTCATCATTTTGAAGAATGATTAATTGAGGAACATAATGCAACAAACTTGTAAGACAACAATTCTCCTTTAAGCAAATCCAGTTTTACAGATGTTAAACTTTGTCTTTTAGTAGCCTTTAGTATAGTGTATATTCCCGAAAACACCTCAAAAATTGATTCATCTGAAAGCTCTGTTTCTTTCATATCATCAAGAAAGTTAGAATTGACATTATCCAGAGAATCACTAACCACTACATAAAAAGGAAGATGGTTATCAGAAATGAACACACTCAAAATAAAGTATGGGTCTGCAGCTTTTCTTCAGTCATGTATGGACAGGTCTGATTAGACTAATCTTAAATTAACTTTTGATAAGGTTTCTTACGTTGAAGTAACTTTGTAAACGTCTCCGTCTTTATTTTAGCAACATGTGTAACCATTTTCTTAACCTCTTTTGGAATCTTTGAGCCATGAAAAAGAATGCTATCACCTTGAAATGTATTGTTGTAATTAGCCGTCTTTGAAGAAGCCATCTTTCTCTGCTCCAACCAGATGTAATATTAACACTCTAATACTTTATGTATTTAAAAAAATTTCAGTTACATGTAACGTTTTGAGCACAGTTTTTAAAATTAAAATTGATAAATAAAAGAAAGATAAACCATATATTTTAGATGACCGTATCTGGACATCCCATTCTGATAAAACGCTTTCTGAAAAAAAAACTAATTTAATAATCATATGCGTTTGATCGAATAATTCACTTCCTGATTCAACAGTTTGTTGTTATGGGTGTCGGGTGACCTTCATAAGAATACTTTTATGTTTATTCTTTATTACCACAGCAATTATTTGAAATAATGTACTTATGAAATGAGATTTAATCAGAAAGAATTGGCATTCCTTGCTCTTCAACCTGCCGAAACATTTGATCTTGAAGGGTCACTATGGCTGAAAGAAAAAGAAGGATATTTTTGGCAACGCAATGAATGTGAGTTTTACTCAAAATAATGACAAATAGATTGGTGAATTAAGATATTCAGAGGAATTATGACACGTTAACAAGTTTACAAAATGATGATCGAGTTATATGTAAATCAAGCATTATTTTGTATTAAAAGATAATCGTCATATGAATCGATGCAACATTTAATAGTGATTTCTAACTAACCTATCATGTGTTTGTTTTTTTTTTTTTTGCAACCTAATTACAAGTTTATGAAACATAAATATGTTAATATTTTGTTCTATTATATTTAGTCCGATAATTTGTTGTGAAATTGCATCACTCGTGGCTTTATAAAAATATGTTTTTGAAAATTTTTGAAATTTTCGAAACAGTTGAGTCAGATGATACAATTTTACCCTAAAGCATCATTCAAATCTTGGCTTGTTTGCCATTTTATACATGCCTAAAGCCCTTGTGTTTCTTGCAATGGTGATTATACTTTTCTTACCATTTGAGGCCAGTGGCATTGCCAACTGTAGAAGTGATTGAGAGAGGGGGGGGGTTAATATTCATTTATGCATGTTACAAACTCTAAAAAACAATTTATTTCTATTTTCATGGGGCAAAACATGCATATTTTAATATCAACCCCCAAATAATAAAGCTGGCGAAACCACTGTTTGAGGCTTTATCATACCTTGTAGCATCACCTAAATCAATGATTCATACATCTGATTCAGTAAATAGTCATGTCAAACCACATAAAATCTTATAATTGTTTAAGATTGCATTCTCTTCCTTGCTCATGTTTGTACTCTGTGTATGATAGAGCATGATTTTATGCCTTGCATATGATAGCTAGATGTGTTTTTTCAAAACTGTGTGTCATTTAATAGCCTACACAGAAAGATGGTGTCGACTAAAGGGGAACTTGTTGTTTTACTGTAAAACTAATGAAAAGGTAAAATATATGGCATTTGAATTATGTGAGTTTTCTGGCCATTAATAAGCTGAATGTTTTTTTGAAATAAGAGTTAACAAAATCCATCCATCAAACTTTTGATCTGTAAGCATGACACTTGTAAACGTGTGTAATTGAACCTTTAATTTACAGTTATCAGAACCAGCTGGTTTGTTGGTTTTGGAACGCTGCCACATTACAAAAGATGCGTCTTCAAGCAGGAAACATGCCTTCATTCTTGGTAAAATAATTCCTTTCACACTTTGCCTCATTGTATTAAACTACTTTTTGTGGGTACGAAGCTGCAGCGCGCTTGAACTTTATTAAGACAGGAACTAGCAGCTCTCACTCCCAGTGGCACCCTGTGTTGAGAGCCCCCCCCCCCAGTAATATTGTTCCTCCTGTTGTAATCTGTTACTTATGTAAATATAATTGTTATCCTAGTTACGGAGCACCCGATATTTGCGTGAAAATAGACTAAAGAACCAAACTACATTATTCTAATTACTAATAACGTACTTGTGAATTTTCCGTTTCGTGAAAAAAGATTGAGGGGAATAGCGTTCAAGGAAGTGATTTTTCGTTATATTTTACTTCATATTGTGCGAATTTTATGTAATGATATTGTTCCTCCTTTGTTAATCTGATAACGTGTCCTACTAAAGAAGTTTGAAACGTTAAAGCTATTTATTACTGTGTGAAGATGTCTTGACTGAAAACGAAACATAACAATAAAATCTATTATTATAATATATTAATCCTAACGCGGTTTTATTATGCACATGAAAAACATGTGACTTGGACGAGATTTGAACTCGCACCTTCGGGATACTAGTCCGCCGCTCTACCTGTTGAGCTACGATTGGAGACGAGTCAAATCTCTTTTAAACTGCGTATGGACGAGACATTCTCGCCACTATAGCAGTTTACTGGATGGCACCGTGTTAAGGATTAATATATTCTATGTTCTCTGATGATGGCTTTGAAATCTATTATTATAATTTGCCACTTTTGTTCTGCATTGATGGCTAATGGTCGTCATCAGACTTCGATTTCCGCTCGGCGCGTCTCTTTCTATTGTCTGTTCAATATTGCGTTCAATTTATCAGTGAAATATGTATCTTTTACTCTTCACAAAACGCTTAAAAGCTTGCATTGTAAAAGGTATAATTTTTATAAAAAAATGGTTTTCCTTCAAAATGGCAAGGAATTTATCGTTAAAATTTGTGAGATAACCGAGTTCTTGAGAACGTCGCAACTATTTAGTTGTAGATTTGTCGTATCAAGCTCACCATCACCCTTTGTATTTAAAGGCACGTTAGAAAAAGGATGCAATTTATGTTAAAGCAAACATATATATATAAGTCTAGATAATAACTGAGCCCTTGAGCAGTGAGCACAGAGAAAATTTTTCCAAAAAGCAAAGTGTGAAAAAAAAGAATTATAGTTTTATTTTTGTGGCATTTTGACATAAAATTGTAATTATTATTGTTTTATTCGGCTTGTTTTCTTACGTAACTTTTTATCTTATTACTGTGTAAAGCAAGGCTACGCACATGTACGCAATGCGTGCTTATTTTTTTGACCTAGAAGCTCTTTAAAGTGTGCAATCATTTTCAGCCTTTGATCGACAAGACGAAAGCCAACACTACCATTTTGCAGCTAATAGCGAGGCTGAATACAATGATTGGACGACACGTATTGTTGGTGCAAGGTGAGTTTCATTCGTAATGTTACAAATTGATGACATAAAACCCAAACTATTTGCTTTTGCTATGATAAAAACCCCACTGTTTCTCCCGGCGATTCTGGATATGGTCATTACACTGATAGAAGTTTAGAGAATAGCTTTTCATTTAATATATTGTTTGTTTTACTTAAAGTTATGAAAAACTGAAAGAAAAACTGCAGAAACTCTGTGAGCAAATAACAGAAATTACTGGCAAGGTAGTTTGCTATAAAATTTTTTCATTATTAGTACAAATGGGATTGATTTAAAATGTCTAAAGGTTTTTGTGATTTCATTAGAGAAATTTTTTAATTTGGATTTTGGAGTATGAACTTATTTAATCTTTTTAATGATTCTTAGCATCCTTTACCTCAAAATCACCCACATCGTAACGATTCGTTTATAATGGTAGGGTTTTTTTTAGCTGCTTTTTTCATGTTTGCATCTAGGTAATATTTATTTTTTCTATTTGACAAACCTTTTGAATTATTTTAGTCTGCTTTACCATCCGTTATTCCCGTCCAAGAAGATTCACCTTTTTTGGAAATAAGCATTGGTAAACACGTGATAAACATTTACATGGCAATGTCAGACACACGCAGATGTCTTTAGATTTGCTCTATTAATTCATATAAAAATACCAATGGTTGATTCATTATTGTACCTTCTAAGAGGACTTACGTCACACCCAATAATTTTTTCACAATATGTTTGCCCTTGATAGTAATTTAAGCCGTGTAATTGTTGTGAAAAAGCTATTGATGAAGAACTAGTTAAAATTTTATGTTTTATGAATTTTCATAGACAATAGACAATATATGCTTAATCGTTTATTTTCAATTTTTACCCTTGTTGAAATTTTACATCTTATTGTGTACAGGCTGTAATAGTTTGAAACAAAGTATAGAAAACAGAGATCCGAATGCTGTAGTTCATGTGAGCACAATGACGCCACCTGGAGCAAAGTGGACACGACTTACACAAACTGAAATAATTGAGGTACTCTACTGGCCGACTTAGGATAAATTTCTTGTATTTGTTTGGGTTTTTTTGTAACTAAGTTAGGCATCAAAACCCACACTGTTAAATGCACGAATAAAACTGCAGATTTATTAAACTTACGATAATTTCAGTTCAATATCAAAAATTCATATCATCTTTTTTAGAAAGTTCCAATCATTAGCTACAAGCATGAAACAACAAGCTGTTTCTTAAATCAGTTTTTTAAAAGTATTTTTATTCGTGGAATATTCTAGAAAACAACTGATCCATGTTTTTTGACAACCGTAAGTGTGCCGTCTGGTCCCAACTTTAGTGAAGTAACAAGATTAAAGTTTGCAGTATTTGATGTTCGAGATCGTGTTAAAGAAGAGGTATTTATCATCTAAAGTGCTTTTGTAGTCCAACTTCTTCCCTCTTTAGGTTGTAAAATAGAAGATAAAAGTGTGAATAGTCAGGGACATGTCTACATTGATTTTATGTTATCATCAGTGTCGTGGATCATAGATGACGACGACTTCTTTAAATGAATTTTATAAATTTACAATGAAACTCATCCAATGATGGAGATTTGTGTGACGTACTAAATTTAATGTTTAAATTATTATATCAGATGCTTGTTTTCTTTGTGTTTATCAATCTAACTGATGTTGTTATATTTTTGTTTTCTTCGCGATAAAACGAGAATGGACTTATTAAAACAACAACTATTCGCTTACAATTTAGATGACTCATTTGGGTCAGGCTGTTTGTACAATAAAAGATGTTCTCAGCTCGTCTAATCAGAAAATTCAACTATCTTTGACGTATGTAACCATAAAATGCGTCGCTTCTTTCGTCAAATATATTTCTATAAAAATATAAATCAATTTATCTATCAGCAATACTTTTTTTATTTTTGCGTGTTTCGTTTGTAAAAACAATATAATCTTCTGATCTTATTTAGTGGTTTGGATTCTCCTACACCGTCGGGAACTATAACATTACTGGGATGGAAGGTTACAATGTTTGATTTGGGAAAAAGTATTTATTTTTCCTTTGAAATTGCAATCATTAAAATTGTTCTTGCTTCTAGATGGGAACATCGACTAATGATAAGTCAGCAGCATTGGTAAGTTTGGCAATAGCCAAATGCTATTGTTTTTTGAAAAGTCAGTGGTCGATCATGTAGGATAGATCCAGATTATTATATTATGTATCTATTGTTCTGTACTTCAAATGTTGATGATAAAGCTTAAAACGCAATAATATTTTTAGTCTTGCAATAATGACAAATTGAAATCAAGACCTAGCACAACTAACCGGTATAGTTTTTCATTAAATGGGCAGTTGCTGTAGCTGATAATTTTTGGTTCATAGCATTTTCATTTGTGGAATTTTTAGACCAAAACTGGATAGCGTTTTGCAAAGAGCATTTACTATTCCCACAAGGTTAGAGTTTTCTATACCTATATATAAGATCAGTGAACGACTCTTACTTTTGTACTAACTCGCTAATTCTTTACTAACATATAAATATTTGAAATCTCCACATTTGGTATTGCACATTGTAATATTTATTGCATTGTATATAGTAAAGATACAAGTGTGATAGTTATGGATATCATGGGTGAAAGTTACCTTACATTCACTGTACCTCAACAAATGTTGTAAGTTTTGACAAAATTGATGTTAAATCCAAAAATAATCATATGCTGCACATGAAACTAATATTTTCACAAACGCTTTTTTTTGTTGTTAGGAAGATTTTTATTACCGAAGAAAAACAAAAAATTTTAGATTTAAATAACCTCGGCAATGTAAGTAATGCCGTTCTTATACGAACTTTTCGATGTTAACTCTGAACATTGGCTTTATTGGCCAGAGAAACTTGCGCCAGAAACTGTACTTGCTTCATTAACTCGTGCCTCGAACCTTCACTTACTATATAAACTCGTGCCAAGGACCTTCACTTACTACATAAACTCGTGCTTAGGACCTTCAATTATTACACTAACTCGTGCCTAGGACCTTCACTAACTACATTAGCTCGTACCTAGGACCTTCAATTACCATACATAAACTCGTGCTATAACATGTACTTGCTACATTAACTCGTGCTATAACATGTACTTGCTACATAAACTCGTGCTATAACATGTACTTGCTACATAAACTCGTGCTATAACATGTACTTACTACATAAACTCGTGCTATAACATGTACTTGCTACATAAACTCGTGCTATAACATGTACTTGCTACATAAACTCGTGCTATAACATGTACTTGCTACATAAACTCGTGCTATAACATGTACTTGCTACATAAACTCGTGCTATAACATGTACTTACTACATAAACTCGTGCTATAACATGTACTTGCTATATAAACTCGTGCTATAACATGTACTTGCTACATTAACTCGTGGCCAAAAGCTTTACATGACTCTTAGTTAGCCTTTCATGAAATCATCGCTTTTCAGTCGTTGTATATAATAAAATTCATTGACTAGGATTTTATTCACTCACTTGATGTTAATGAGTTGCGCAATGGAATTATTTAATGAATCAAACCGTTGGACTACTTATGTGAGATCGTTGTTAACATTTATTTATCAGAACATCGACTCTATCATTCAAACGACGGTTATTAATAAATCTTTGCATGCTGTCTTCATTGCTCTTTTTAATGGTTTTTTATTGACAGTTGATGCCTGAATGGGACAATGTTCGTCAAGAAATTCTTGATGATCATTTCAACTTGGTCAGTAAATACACTGATCGCTATCGTCATCTGAATAGTTTAAGAGGTATATAGACAGTCATTTATTTTATACACGCAACATTGCATTGATTTTTTAGTCTTTTATTTCATTCATAGAGCGTCAAGACAATGTGTCGTCAAGGGGGAATTTCAAACCAAGTCGTTTAAAAACAGATAAAACGTTAGCTTTTGTTACCACAAACTTACATTTACAAAGACTGAAAGTAATCGATGGAACTAATGGTAAGAGATAACAAATTATATGTGAAGACGCCTTGCTTTCTCGGTACAAATGAAATTGTTTTATAATTCTTTATGATAGAGCAAGTTTATGATGTTGTTACTTTTGGAGCACCTTCAGCTCATTCAATGAAATTCGGTAAAGGAGGATTGCGAAAACTGTTGGGAACACCAAGGTATGTGTACTGCTCCACCATTTGCCTGAGAACTAGTTCCTGGGAGATTTAATCCACTCTCGCTTTCTGAGTGCGAGCTGGATGTTGTATTGATGTTGTAGAATAGCAAATCTCAATGCAATTTAACTTTAATTTCAAGCAAGAGTATATTATTTTTCTTTGTATAGTACAAGTGACAGACTAGTGAGAGCACGAAACATGAAAGGTATGTTCAAATACTTTATGTAGTTGTTCAACTACGAACATTCACAGTTACACAACTCTTTATTTTAGGGGATTTAGATATGTTACATCACACTATTCAAAGTCTTTGCGAAGAAATGAAAAGGTAGAACATTTATGACATAAATATTGTGTGGGAATCAGATGCATTTTTAAATTCAACGATTCTTTTATTATTTACTTTCAGAGCGCTGTTAAACAAAGACTTGAAATACATGGATGAAATATCAAAGAAAATAAAGGAGAAGGTCTTTTCTTGTGTTTTCCTTGTAACTTTTCTTGTTTCTCCTTATGTACACTGTTATCTAATCACATACGAAGACATTTACTCCTCGCATCATTTTGTAATGTTGACTATTTTTAGGCGGAGAATTTGATGAATTTCCGAGAAATGACTTTCATTGTCGAATCCCTAACGCGTTTGAGTACCTCACGACCTTCATTTGAGGATAGAACAGGTTCATTCATGTACTTTTGTGTATGTATATGTATATGTAGATATACATGTATTGCTAAACTTCAAAAGATCGTATATTGTATAAATGGAAAAACTTTTCATGATTTTTATTTCGTGCACTAACAGTAAAGGTAAACGTGTTGACGTGTTTTAGTACAAACAATTTACTCTCAAGTTCCTCAACGAACTATTATTGTTAGAACTTCATACTCTGTTTAAGCAATTTTTCAATTAATCGTGTTTTTTTTACCAATGAAGGATCATTTAGTTCGTCTGCCGAGTCTGACAAGAATGAAAATCCTGAATGCAAGGTATTATAAGGTTTTAACCAATAAGGATAAGTTTAATCGTATATATACAATCACTGAAGGATACAGAGGTGCTTGGCAGATTTTAATGTTTGAACTTGTAATCATTTTAAAATTTTTTTCTTTAGGTTTTAGTTGATACAATTCGCAACTCGTCAAATCACATGCTAGTATTGATTGCTGACTCAGGCGAAGCGCAACCTTCAGAAGGTCAGTGGTTTTTTCTGGTTTTCAACGATTGTATTATTTTAAATTTACCAGTGTGCTGATGTGGAAGTATTAAATATTTTTTACAGTTCGGCATTTATCGTCTATAAAGAACTTAGTTTCTGATATATCTCGAGCTGTTGAATCTCTTATCAAAGAATTCAAATTAGGACTGAATTTTGTATTACTTCAGGTAAAGTTTTATTTTTGTTTGTTTTCTATCTTTTAATGCTCAAGCTTCATTGAATCCAAAAGTTTTAACTTAATCTGTAGTGTTATGCTTATCCTAACAATCACATCTCCTTATCCTAACTGTCATATCTAAAAAAAGACTTATAACCACCTCGCAAAGTTAAAACTCCGTCAACCTTTTATTTAAAGTATAATTTCAAGACTTTGCATTTTTATTTAGGAAGAATCCCGTTCTCCTCAAACTATGAAAAATCTACGACAACGACGTGATATTTGCTTATCACAAGCTGTAAGTATAATTACACATCAACAGAAATGCCGCCGCCATGTTTGAAGCTGAAAATGAAGTTAGTTTTTCTTCACAAGTTTTTAGAAATTCAATATTATTTTAAAAATTAACGACAATATACAAAAACTACAGCAGCACAAGATGCCATTATGGATTTTACTCAACGAGTTATGGTAATTGAGCCACAACTCCGATACCCATGAGCATTTGCATGGTTCAAAATGGTCTCTAAAAACAATAGAAATGTAGAGTTGTACTTCACTTACATTATTATAACTTTTCACTACCACAATCGGTTAAATATTACGATGTTTTTACTAAAGATAAATTTTCATTTGTACTCATCAAAAACTTTTTAAGGTTACTGCACTTATTTGTGGTTTTGAAGCGAAAGTCTATACATGTTTGTTCAACACAACCTTTATGAAACAGCTTTGTCAAATCGGCGTACTTGCAGAGTTTGAATGTCTTCTCAGTACATATGGTTCGTTGTATTTACTTTTAAATATTTGTTGTAAATTAAAATGTGGAAATTCATTTACCGACATATGGCATCGGTAAAACTTTAAAAAACAAAAGCTTGAGAGAATTATTTTCATGCAGGGGATGAAATGGGGATGTTAGAGGATATGTCAACTGCAATACGAGATCTTTCGTCAGTCAAATTTAGGGTAAATGATTTTTTCTGAATTGATAATGAATTTAAAGTGTTAAATTACGAAATTCGCATGTTTAGTTTGCAAGATCCGACGATGATAACATTCCTTATGTTACTGGAACTAGGTATTTTATATACTAGCAATTCATGACAAAAACAAATCATGTCTTATTACTCATTTTCATATCGCTTTTACTTCACAATCTAGAACAAATATTCAAGTTACAATTCTGCTTCCTACCGAGTATTTTTGCCATTTACCAGAACAATTACAAGAAGGTCAACAAGTTCGAGTTTATTCAGTTCTCTTTTGTCAAGGAATCAATGAACATGCAACTTTGGCAGAAAGGTTTTGTTTTGTTGTTTTCAAATAAATTAATTATAAATAATAGAGAAGGTTAAAAGATTAATATTTCTGACATCAGCATATTAGGATTTCCAAATCATAAATCTTATACATGAATATATTCCGTTATTGTAAACTTCTGATCACTTTCATAACAAATGAAGCAAAACTGCAAAATCATTTCATAAATTGCTGTAAAAAACATTTACAAGTGATTTTTGGAACTTTTTCAAACTTTAAACCGTGTTTTGACATTAATAAAAGTGAATATTCGATTTATGTCATGAAATTATATTATTTATCGATAATTGTTGTTATTATAAAGGTTTGGAGATACTTCATTACAAGAAACAATCAACGAAGAAAATTTCAGTGTGACAAATTTTTACTATCAACAATTTCGAGAACATTTTCCCGATGAAGGTAGACAAGTTTTTAAAAACACAATTATCGCCTCAAATATTTGCTTTTGTAGATTAGCAAGTAACGAATGAAAGAGTTTTGTTATTAGCAGGGTGTGAGGGTGTGTGTGTGAAAAAGACAAGTCTTTATTAGAAATTAGCCAATTGTTAAAATTCCAATGTCTGATTACAAAGCTAAGTTCAATGGTGCATTATAGTGTAGATTTTGTTGGTAGAAGTAATATTAAATTCCCAAGTATTGAAAAGTTTGTGCGATGGGACATTAACACTGTGACAACTGAATAATTTTTAAAGATCTCTTTTATACAACCTTCGGCTATAATGGTTGTACAATGATGAAATGTTAGTTTCAAAAATAGTGTCTATCTCAGAGCCGCAAATATTTGGAACGCTCTTCCATGTTTTCAGTCGGTATCTTTCATAACCTGTACATGTTTGTAAATGTAGATCGTCCAGGTTGGTATAGTCCTGAGAAGGACTGTTTTTGTTGTTGTTGACTGACGTTTCGACAACCTATGTACACACAATACAATGGCGTAAGAACCAGATAACAAATACGGCTAACCTGACGTATTCTTCTCATTTGACTCTGAAGATGACTACCGCTAAGGTTGTCGAAACGTCAGTCAACAACAACAAAAACAGTCCTTCTCAGTACTATACCAACCTGGACGATCAACATTTACAAACATGTAACGATACTCCCGGGTTCAAACCATTTACTTTATTTCATAACCTATGTTATTTATTTTTAATGATTGTAACAGTCCACTTATTTGAGGTTTATCATGTTTTGTGAGTTGAGGAAGCTATTGATTAAGTTGCTTATAGGTATTACTTTTGTCTGTATATTTTGTTCATGAAATGCCGTTATCTTATTGTTCCTTATATATTTTATAGCAAACGCATCAAATTCTTCTGAGCCAGTCTTGAACACACTTGTAGAACATCTTAAATCAAATATTGCAGCTAAAAAAAGTAAAAATGTCGAGATCTTGTTTTTAGCACAAGAGGTAAAAATTTCGCATAGATTATTTGAAATCAACATAATTCATCAGCTGAAGGAAGATCAATTATATTTCATTTGTAAACACGTGTATAATTATCATAATTATCATAACTTATTACGACAATTAACTTGCAATAATTTTTTCAACAAACATGGACTTTATGTTGTACTAAATTACACTAAAAACTCTATGGCTGTTTTTTATATTTATTAGTTTTTAAAATCCAGTTAAGTAAATTAATACCAATCCAGTTATAATTTTAGTCCAAAACAAATTTTTCATCCACAAACACACTTATTGAAAACCATGAAAGACGCCGACTCTTCTTCAGTTTGAAATATTTTCAATATACAAACAAAAAACTTTTTAGATTTGTTGGCGAATGAATGGCATTCGTTTTACAAGCTGTAAAAGTGCAAAAGACAGAACGTCCATGTCGATTACTTTGGAACAGTGTTTAATATTAAAACGCAAATATCGTCTTGCACTTGACATTTTCAACCGAGCCATTGATGCGATGAGAAGGTATAAAATAGATACCTATATCCTCACTTTATCGTTGACTTTTATGACAAAAATAATCATTTTTTTGGTGGTCAAATTTCACGATAGTAATTGGTATCTTATATGCATTGTCAAGGTCTTGGACAAGCTCGTGGTGTCGAGCGTCTTAATTAGTTGAATAAAAACAATGATTAGGTTATGTCTGTTAAAACTTCCTATTTTAGAAAATATCAGTTCTGCTAAAAATATAATTTCCCAACGTATAACTTTCAATGAGACCATGGATCAAAGATTTTATCAATAAGAACATTTCGTCTTTAAATTTAGACATCATCAGATTCAAATGTATGTTGGTTTAACCCTCCAACCTGCGTCCCATAATTTTTTCCCAGCATGATTACTAAATATAGCATGGCATTTTAAATGTTTTTTCGTTGCTCAACAACAGGGGTTAATCACTGTTAAAGGGGGAGAATTTTCAAATCATCCACTTTAACATAAAATTTTTTAGCTAAAAGAAATTCATGCTATTATTTGCTGTATTTAGTGAAGGTACACGACGTGAAAACTGTTTTAAAAACGCTGGTGTGCGACGCTATGCGTTCAATTATTGGCAGATGATGGCACTCCCTCGTTTATACAGACCTCCTGATGGTACTTATGGAAAAAATATTCAAACATAATGAACAATTTAAGACAGAATTATTAATAGAGGAAGACGATTCTTATATGGAATTAATGGAATTAAATAATTATGAACTTAAGTAATCAATAAATACTTAAGCTAAAGCCAGGTTAAATAATTTGAGGTTAAAAATTGCACAAATTGTGACGTAGATTTTACAATAAAATATAGCTATGCTGTTTTTGCTTTGTTGAACTAGTTTATAAAATGTTTGTGAAATATTTTCAATTGAAATTTGTAGAAAAAGACTATAAATTATTTAGTCATTGTAATGGAATGTAATAATGTGGCAATTAAAGTCCAATTTTTGCAATGGCATTCACTAATGTCGCAATTAAACATTACTTTAAAGTTTCAATTCAAAAGATGCATGAAAACGTCCTGCTTTAGATGGGGGATAGTGAAGTGCGTTGAAAACTTCCTTTACTACTTGAACTAAACTAAGGTAAACAGTTGAGTCTTTGTGCAATAGAAACTTCCTGTATTTTATATAAAAGCCGAACGAAAATGATCATTTTTCATCAGTGTGTAGTGATTGTGAACATTTCAGATCAACTTCAGGGATTTTAACAAAATTATATTCAACAAAAGATGACAAAGATGTTCATATTGTCTTTCTTATGTTTTTTCATTTTCCTTATTAAGATAAACCTGGGAGGTAATATTTTGTACAAAAATTTAACAAAACACTTATTTTTTTACAAACCCAATGGGTGATTAAAATTCTTTTTATTTTACAGCAGTTTTTACAGAAACTGAAAAATGTCCTCCAAACTGGGTTAATGATGCTCAGTCATGCTATTACGTCAGTACGTACAGGGCATCGTGGGCCAATGCTAGAATTGCTTGTCAAAAATATGGAGGAGATCTTGCTGTTCCAAAGAACGAAGCCGAAACTAACGCCATTGGCAAGATAGTCCGAAGCAGACGTTTGAATGACCTTTACATCGGTTTATGGCGAAACAAAAAGGACAAGAAATTCTATACTGTGCAAAATAAAATACCAACGTACACAAACTGGGCACGCGGAGAACCTAATGGTCCTAATTCTGAGTTTTGTGTACATTTCATTGGTTACCGTCATTGGAATGACTATACATGTACTGGTAGCTACTTTTTCATTTGTGAAAAATCGGAATCACAAATAAAGAACTGTAAGTAGTCATGTATATATTTAAAGGAGTTTTCCCTCATAAAATACATAATTGATAGTGCTTTGGATTGACTTCTCAGTATCAACTTAAATTTTTTTTCTCGACTTAAGTGCTGAAAATTATGGATTATCCAGTTTGCTAGTATATTAATGTTTGTATACCAATGATAATCCCTGTAGACTGTAGTTTTATCAAAAACAAAGCTTTTTCTTGATTTTATCATTCATCATGAAATTAAAGAACTCTATTGTTTATATCTAGTATTAATTTAACTTACTATACAAGTTTTTTAAAATAATTCACAAAGACTTTCTCCTGAACGCCTTTGCATAAGGCAACTCAATGTAAACTGTGAAATAAGTGCATATCCCGATAAGCATTGCGCGTATCAAATGAACAAAAACTTTTAGGTCTATTTTCTGTCGTAACACTGCACTGCTATAACTTTGACTTTTCAAATTAAGTTAAAAACTAAAAATTAACTATGACATCACCCTTAAAGTAAAAATAATCATGAAACAAACTCGTCTATTTTATGAAATTTCAGATGGACTGACATGTGGCGAGAATGACATGACCTTTATAATCAAGAAATCATCGTTAAATATTGTTTCATCTTCCCAACTTCAACTTCTCCACAGTTCATGCAAACCTACATCAACCAACTTATATTTCATCTTTACAACCACATTAACTGGATGTGGCACAAAGATGACTGTTAAAAATGGCGGAAAAGAAATTTCATTTCATAATAAAGTCATCGAAAGTTCTTCAGGTTTTAATAACACCGTTTCAAGAGCAAAAGAAATTCAACTTCCTTTTAAATGTTCTTATCCTCAAAGTTATCTTGTTTCTTCTTCAACATATGGCCTTAAAAATTTCGCCATTTCAAACGAAACCGTCAATAAACAACGCAACATATCCATAATCATGTCAATTTATACAGATGAATCTTTCAGTCAGTCATTGAAAACAGATCCATCAATGGGAGATCGTCTTTATGTTGAAGTCAAACGTAATACAAGCAAAACAAACTCGACATTTGGTGTAAAGTTGAATGAATGTTTTGTCACTTCAAAAAGTCATTTGGGTGAATTCAAATATCTTCTTATTGAACGAGGGTAAGTGCTATAACACATTTATTTTATTCAAATTTAAAACGACAAAATATTTCTATCCATAGAAGCCATGGAGCTGGGAAGGAAGATAATTTTTTTCAGTAAAAAATAATTTTCCATCCATTTAATCATCCAACAACAATATCAAATCTCATTTTCAACTATCATTATAGTTGTGCAAAAGACAAGACGGTGAAATTCTATCAAACGTCATCTCACCTGGCAACGAGATTCAGTTTTCTTGTTTTCCGTTTTCGTGGTTTACATCATTACCATACACGTGTTCATTGCAGAGTCAGTTTGTGTGTAGGAAAATCTTGTGCATCGGGATGTCAATCATCTAAGAATAGAAAACGTTTCTTGTCACAATGTATCAGTGATGAAGAAATCAGATATTTCTACTAAAGAGTAAGTATTTATGTATCGCAATGAATGACTGGAGTGATGCATAATATTTCATAGTCACTAAACATACATTTTATAACTTTGACATATTTTATAGAAAATGGCAACGGGTGAAACAGTTTAACGGACCTTGATTTTTGGACAAATATTACTTTGTTTTATTTTGCATGTCTATTATTTTTTATTACAAAGATACTGTTATGTGCGAGCAACTTGATTAACAATTTGTTGACTTTGTAATCATTTTTAAAACGTTATTATCTATTGCTTATAATCATTAAATGTTTTCTTCAGACAAAATTTTTTGTTTTCTAAAATTCTAGCGGTAAATCAACCAACCTTGTCTTAAAGACTTGCCTCCAATAAAACATGCATAACAGAGTGTTTGAGAGATATTTCTATGTGGGCACTATGTTTATATCAAACTTTCCAAATCATAAATAAAACGTCCATAAACAAACAATACTAGTGTAGAAAAACTTCATCAATTTCTGTAAAACTAAGTTCACTAGTTTTACAAATATAGCAAAAGTGCATAAAATTGAGGTAATTTTTGTCAAAAATGCAACATGTTTGTTTCTTTAATTCTACTATATAAAGCTACGCATGCTTTGTTTTGCTGAATTAAAAATCGAAGTAATTTTGGGTATTGAAATAGTGAAATCAACCAATATTTAATTATTTACTATTTAGCTTTGAGAGTACGTCTTTATAAGAAGCAATCAACGATAAAAAATTAGATTGCTTTTTATTTTGAAAAATTGAATTTCATTTTCCAGATCAAGCCATGTATTCACAACCGAGAAACTTGTTCACTCGGCCCCAACATCTTTTTAATTCAATGGAATGGAGTTTAATGACAATGTTGTTGATACTTGTGATAAATATTTTGAGTATATGCCAGCGTACACGCAATGTATGTCTGTGATTGTTTAGTTACCATCCAGTACAAACAATGTATGTCTGTGATTGTTTAGTTACCATCCAGTACACACAATGTATGTCTGTGATTGTTTAGTTATCATCCAGTACACACAATGTATGTCTGTGATTGTTTAGTTACCATCCAGTACACACAATGTATGTCTGTGATTGTTTAGTTACCATCCAGTACACACAATGTATGTCTGTGATTGTTTAGTTACCATCCAGTACACACAATGTATGTCTGTGATTGTTTAGTTATCATCCAGTACACACAATGTATGTCTGTGATTGTTTAGTTACCATCCAGTACACACAATGTATGTCTGTGATTGTTTAGTTACCATCCAGTACACACAATGTATGTCTGTGATTGTTTAGTTATCATCCAGTACACACAATGTATGTCTGTGATTGTTTAGTTACCATCCAGTACACACAATGTATGTCTGTGATTGTTTAGTTATCATCCAGTATACACAATTGACTACAATCGTTTACTTTTGATCGACTATTCAGCAAGAATTTCAAATCAAGTAGAGCTTTCTCATAGCGTCCTTGTGATCTTTGATACGCTATCAAAGATCACAACGACGCTATGAGAAAGCTCTACTTGATTTGAAATTCTTAATCAATTGTAAGAAGAATCAAGTCTACCCGAAATTTGTAAGATGGAAGAACATCACACGCATAAAGAAAAAGAAAACTCAAGCACGATATTTACATTTGCTGTTGAACGACGCCATTCAGCAAGAGGTTTGCAAAAATACGTAAAAATAAGGTTGGTCTCTAACGTCAAATTTTACATGAGACGAATATATTAGAAACAAAAGATAACGAGTAATTTTATCTCTTTTTCCTTCGTTTTTAGTACTAGGCAGATGTAAAGTTCGATATTTGAAACCAGTCACAAACCTATATTATCAATCTCGCCTCTTGTTCTACTCGAATAATTATAGTAGAATTGTGTGACAATTGTCAAAAAGTTTTTCATTTAATTTGCATATGAACTATTTACTACATTATAAAATTTATAGATGTACATTTGGTATGTTTATACACAACTATGTGACTATTTTCTTAGCTGCAATTTCGTTGTTTTAATTGTGTCTTTATAAAATTGACTTTCCTATGTATGTATGTAAGCGAGTTGTTTATTAAATTGTGATTAAAACAGACCATTACTCCATACTTTATATAAAACGAATCTTACAGTTAAGAAAAGCAATTGATATACTGTTTCTTGCACAAGAGGTAAAAATTTTACATAAAGATTGTTTGATAACAATATAACTCAGCAACTGCAGGAGACTCGATTATTTAATTCGTAAACATATACTTATCATAACTTGAATTTTTCTTGCAATAATTGTTCTAAAAATACAGACTTTTTGTCGATGTAAATCATACTAAAAACTTCCTCAGAATGTAGTTGTTATCGATTACTATGTAAATATAATCTAACTTGTATCTTCTTAATTGTATTTTGAAGAATTAGAAACTTAAATTTACGAACGACTACGAAGAATCAGAAAGAGTGTTCGTTGCTTTCTCCTAAAAATATCGCAGATTGTTTTGCTAATGTTTGTTGTTTCATTCGCTCGATTTAATCCGTTCGGAAATTTTGTGTAACAAGATGAATTTTGTGTGTTAAAGTGAGTTTAAGTGCAATTTTCTACATTTTAATTTAGTCAATTTGCTACCTCGATTTCTCATTTTGCATTTTGATCGAAACATGGGATTAAACTTGCACAATGCAATAAAATTAGAGTGAATCGAAGGGCATAATGATGATATGTGTCAAATTTTGTTTGATGAATACAAATTATACAATAAAACACTCAAATCAAACGTAAGGTACTTCGAAATCGACGCTGAATCGTTGGGAGGCATAGTCTTATGCGGATGTACACATAAGCTTGATTCATAAGTTGAGGGAACAAATAATCGTACTCTTCACAAAACTTCGCAACCAAGACGTAAAAAAGTTATAACTAAAAAGACAAGATATACAAATACAGGCTTCACTCTGATCACAGTACTCCATTGATTAGTTTAATTGATAAAAGACAGGAAGCAAATGAATGTATTCAATAACTTTAAAGTGTTGTACGAAATAAAAATATTATGTGGGCTGATTACGTCAAACGACAACTAAACATAATACGTGTCAACTGTCAAACTTTTCAGAGCAGGAAAAACAATTAAATACTTTTGCAATGTGGCAAGTCTTCGCTTTTAAAGATTAACTTTTGTCAACACAAGTAACACATAGCATCGTTAGAAAAGTAATCTTTTCAAATTATTTCAAGAAAAAAGTAACAAAAGGCAACACGAACTGTTCGCCAAAAAATAGCAATACAAATGTCGTTTGTATGTAATTCAACACAAGTCATAAGCGTATTTATTTATCGGTTGGGTGAACTATATCTCATTGAAAGAAAAGTTGTTGACAAAATAATATTTATAGCAAAAATTGCTTTCAGTGAAACTGATGATGCAACCAGTAAAATCTGTGAGAAATCTCGAGAACTTCTTTCCTAAATGTGACCACAGTCACGTGACATAAAATCCAAGCAAGAGGGTTCAGTAAATTAGAAAAGATTGGACAGTTATTGGGTAATTTGATTGAACATTAAGCAAAAAGCACAAACTACAAATCTCAGATAAGTTTAGTGGAAACAATATTAATTAAATATATACTATTTTTGGAGCTATGCTAATTAATTTACTTCATTTTATAACCATATAATTGACAGGCTACTCAAATATAAGCGTAAGTACATGTTTTTATTGTGCATTGTAGAATTTACTATCTTTGCAAATATTTCAAATTAGATTATGCAGAAATACGTAAAAAAACTTTTTTCATGGCATTCGCACTCCGGGATGCAGTTAAAAAATTATTGTGGATTATAATTTTATAAAAAGTCCTTTTTCCGCTAATTATAGAGTTAATTGGCTATATTAGCAAAAAACAAATGATTTTTTGAAAGTAGAGTATATATATACGTAGATAAGATAATAAAATGCATTGAAAACTTCCTCTTCTCGGCAACTCTACACGATGTGGATTGTGAAAGCAAACATTCCATTAACTTTAACTGGAGTCTTTGTAAAGGAAAAACTTCCTATGTTTTATTTATAAAAAGCCTAAAGACAACGATCATTTTCATCAGTGTGTAGAGATTGTTAACGTTTCAGGTCATCTGTAAGGATTTTATCAACTTATTTTCTACGTAAAGATGTCAAAGATGTCAATATTGTCTTTTATTTGTTTTATTTTTATCATTATGATGAACTTCGAAGGTATTTAAATTTAATCTTGTTTTTCTAGATTCAGTAAGTTGCATTTATGTGAAATGTATTGGAGAAAATATATATAGTAACAAAATTATTTATGATTTTGTAAAGCTAAAAGTTTATCGTTTAAAATACATTGGCCAACATTCTAAACAAATCCAAAGTATCGTTTAATGTAGCAAGATATAGATGTTTTGCACATGCTTGTATCCATAGACAGATAATCAAATATCTTATGTAAAAAAATCACAGGGAGCTGGCAAATAGCAAAGTGAATATATAATAAAATGTTGTCCAAGGCGTCGATGTTGAGATCGAGTTAAATAATCATATTTCGATTAACTATAACAAAATGCTTTTAGAAGAAATCACTGATGTGTAAAAGGTTTTAATTCATCATAAAACTTGCGTGAAAATGTAGGAAATGGCATTATAGAGATCCTGCAATAAACAATTTATAAAGGTCCATTCCCCGAGCCCCACAGAAACCAGTAATGGCAAGAAAAGTTTGATAGACAGGTCAAATCTATCCCCCGAAATGAATCTGATTGATTCTTTACTTATATTGATTGTTTCATCATAGCTTTTATAATATAGGCGAGTCTTAACTTGTCTCGACAACACCGAGATAAGAAACGTTGTCATTCAAAGTCTGCAACCTATTCAAATTTTGACAAATATTGTAACACATACTTATGACACTACAATGAGCCTGTTATGAAGTTCCAGAATGTGATAACAATATCAGTGAAATAAATGTTTATGCATACATTATTTTAACATTCTATTAACATCACAAAATAAACGTCTTAATTTATAAATAAAATAAATTATGTCACAGTTATAAACATGTTAATTAAAAAAACAATATATCACCCTACAAACTTCTTTATTTCAAAACAATTAAAATAATTATGTCACAATTGAACTTGAGATTGAATTTATAAATATTAAACAAAGAAACTCATGTCACAATATGAACCATTTTCCAGCTCTCAGAAACAGCGACACAATTTCAAAGTAAATCTTTCTTGGACGCAACTTGAAAAAACGTCAGTACACCAGACTCGTCA